TCATTTAAGTTTTTGTAGCTAGGTCACTAAGTTCACTCTATATGAGTGCTTGTATATTGTACATTTCTCGTAGGTGGTAATCTAGTCACATAGACACATAGAGACAAAGAGATTAAGTGGTGATTAATTGATTCTCAAATCAAGCTAGCACATCTAAAGATTCATACACAAATCTTCAGTAGAAGCACATATATCCATTATATCCATAACTAATAATTAATAAATAGTAGTACTGCACCGGGTTTTTTTGGGGACATTGTATAAAACTGAAAGGATATTGAAATGAAATCATGGCTTCTGTGCAAAGGAAAACACTTTTAAACTCTTAAACCCTAAACAGTTTATACTTTTTTTTTTAATAGAGATTGGTTGTTCATGTGTGACTATTGTTTCATATACATGAGTAGATTGGTTGTTCATGTGTGACTATTGTTTCATATACATGAGTCTTTGTCTACATCCTACATGTGCCCTCATTGTACTTTTCTCTTCTTGGCTAATAAGTTTTAGTAGATATGGGTGTCTAGGGAGCTAGGGACCAAGGGCATTAAGTTTATCGGGGGCTGAAGTTCCCTCTAATCGCTCTGTGCTGGGAAAGTAAGCTGTTGTAGTAGTTCGATGACTTAGCCCCTAATGTATAGTTCTGCTCGCATAATCATCTGGCCCTTGCCAATGCCAGATTTAAGAAAAAATTAAAAAAAAAAAAATCGTAAAAATTAAGAACACTTCTGCATAAGAATGGGGAACATATATATGTGATATCCAAAGGCGCCACTGAAGCCACATTCCTAATAATTATCTCCTTTTTGTAGTCAAAATTTCACGCAGAACTAATTGAGGTTAAGGAGAGTCGGTTGGTCATCAAATAATTGAAGACCTTTGGTTCGAATTGTTGGATTCCACATCAGCATTGCATGGAGAGTTCATTTCATCCAGATTGCATTCATTCATTCATTCTGTCATATCAGTTAAAATCATGGACTCAAAGATTGACAGACAAGATGAACAATTGAAGAAAGATTGATCGCATTTGGAATTCACGATCCTTATCGAAAGTGCGGTACATGAATTTGTAATGAAATAAGTGTGGGGTGACCGGGTGGGTGTCCTTTAAGCTTGAGACAGTGTCTTAATACGGAAAAAACACAGAGCATATCAATACCTAACACACCAAAAAAGAAGCATTTATTTGGCTTGTAGGCAACTTTACTTGTACGCCAAACACTTGACAAAGTCATTCACCTCTTCTTTAGACAGTGCATGCATCGATTTTGTCTCCCGCTTTCTTTGGAAATAAACTTTCTTCGTTCTTTGTGAGCTTTAATTTCACCGGGCCTTTCATCAACTTCGCCACTGTATGTGAAAGCTTCAATTTCACCATGGATATTCCATGCAATTGCATATATAAACTAATCGGATTGTTGTAATGAATAAACACACTTAATTCTCTCATATGGAAGGGAGGGACAGGGTGGGGTGGGTTAGAGTGGTTTAAGTTTCCGTAATGGGTAATTCATTTTTTTCTTCGAATAAACGATTGTATCTATACTAAGGGGGTAGAGGAGAGGGCTAAACCTTACAATTGGCTCGCCATAATAATGTGGTTCAACTTCGCCTGAAGCACAATTTTTCATTTGTTCTTTCAACAAACCTTTGAATATATATAGGCTTATTTATTCCAATACCAATCGAGGCCTAGAAGATGTACTTTGTATGAACTTTTCAATACCCTTTTTTCATTCCTCGAAACATGTATACGAGCATGGAGAACTTCAAAGATGGAAAAATATGAGCCAAACTGGCTCTTTAATATTCTAGTGAATGATGTCAACATTCGATTTGTATATTTAATGAAATTTCTTTTTGTTTCGAAAAATAAAGAAAAACACTCCTATTAGTAATGAAAAGTAAAGTGACAAGTTTATTAGAGCACACTTTATTGTAATTTCTCTTGCTTTTTCTACAATTTCTCCTATAGTTACATAACAATTTATTCCTTTTTATACATGTTTATTATGATTGGCCTGCACTACAACAATTTAATCACAACTTGTGATCAATACACCAATCCAATATTGCACAAACTCATGGTTTTCTTTTGTTGAAAGCACACAAAACTCATGTAACCACACCAACTAATAAGCTTTTTGGTAGCTAGTCAGCTAGGCTTCCGCAGTCTTGGGGATGTTGACCAAGCAGTAATAAGACCCTGCGGGCCCCTTGGCCAGCAGAGAAGAATGGGACCCCTTCAGCATTGCACTTCTGTATGGTACTCAATATGTGCGCCGCCACCACGCTAGTCCTCCCCACCCTCAGTCTCTCGAGCGCCTCTTGCACCACCTTCTCTGATTGGCAGTCGAGCGCGCTGGTAGCCTCATCCAACAGCAATACCGTTGGATTTCTTAGTACTGCTCGGGCTTTTGCTATCCGTTGCTTTTGTCCCCCGGATAGCTGCACTCCTTTGTCCCCTCACGACGTGTTGTATCCGTCCCTTAACCCGCTGATGAAATCGTGAGCGTTGGCCGCCTTTGCCGCCTCCACGATCTCCATCTCGTCGACCTTATCGTCGGAAGATCCGTATGCAAGGTTGTCTTTTATGGTTCCGGCAAATAGCGTTGGCTCCTGGCTGACCAATGCAATCTGTCTCCTCAATGACCTAAGGTTGTATGATCTCAAATCTCGACCGTCCATTTCCAGTAAACCTTTGATTGGATCGTAGAATCTCTCGATTAATCCAATGATGGTCGATTTACCTGTAGGAAGTTTTGTTTAAGTCACAAAACATTTAATGGAAATTAAAAAAAAAAAATTTCTTGTTTAACATACCTTATATCTATAATATTATCAAGGACATGGGTGTATTAAAAATAAATATTAAAGAGAGGGAAAAGACATGAAAGCGAAAATATAATGAGTTGAAGAGGAAAACTAAATAGAAAAAGGTAAATTTAATTGCCAACCTTCGATCTAAAACTAAACATAAAAAGGTAATTTAATTGATTCCTAATAAACAAAATAATTTTTGGCATAAGATAAAGTACTTACCTGATCCACTTTGACCCACCAACGCCGTAGATTTTTCTGCTTCAATTTTGAATGAGAAGTCTTGGAAGATTATCACATTCGGCCTAGTTGGGTATGCAAAATAAACATGACAAAATTGGATCATGCTCCTTATCTTTTCCACTTGGGAGTTCTCAGGAACTTGGGGCTCAATTTTTGTGGCCCTGTCCAGAATACTAAATATCGAACCGATTTCATACAAACCAATGGCAAGGTCCAACGTCATACTTCCAGCATCGGCAATGGTTCGACCGGTCGTCACCTGAAAGAGGAAATTAGGTCTTTAGAATTGTAAATAAACCATCATATTTTTGTTCAAAAATGCCGCCTACTAGTACCGTTTAGTATTATAATCTAGTGGTATTAACATTTACTAAAATGAGGATGGTATGAAACACTGCCCTTGATGCGACGTGGCCGTTAGAGACGAGCATGCCACCCCACAAAAAGCTCATGCCCCAGTTGAGGTCGATGATGCTATGGGCAAACCCTAACCCAATGCTTGTGTACCATGATCGATTGATGTTCTCTCTACGCGGGCCCACTCGTGTCTTTTCCAGCATCTTGAGAATTCTGTTTTGGGCGGAGAAAGCAGTGATGGTCCAGTGATTGGCAACTGCTTCGGCCGCAAGCTTGGAGCTTTCCTCTTGGGCTTCCACGGCTCTGGTGGAGGTCGTTTTGAGCAGGACTCGCTTTGCATAAAAGCTCGCAATCACTAGTGGTTGTACGGCTATTATGACGATTGCAAGCTTCCATGCGATTATTAGACCCAATGTCCATGCTAGGGCTACGCTTGTGAATATCGCAATCACTAAAGATCTCACCTGCCAATCATCAAAGCATGATCATTTTTTCATAAAATTGTCAAAAATATTTATGAAACAGTTTACTATGTTATGTTATTACCTACCATTTCAGCGTCTTTTTGGAGCAATATTAGAAAATATGAAAAATAACAATATAATTTCAATGCTAATAATCATAAAGAAATTCACAACATCAATTATATATAAGATTAATATAAACAACTAGAGAGAAAGTTAGAATAACTGACAAACTTGGAGATTGAGGCTTGCATAAATGCAATGTCCTAAAGATAGAATTTCGCCCCTACTCTTGTGCTTGTAGTTCGGTAGGCGTCCATCTCCCAAGATTCAACAATCTATAATCCGAAGGCAAAGCACTTCAATCTTCGGACTCTGACGAACTTTATATATTCCATACTCTCAAGACACGACTCGAAATTTGACTCACGAAACATGAGAGAAACAAAGTGGGGAAACCCTATTTCTCAAGAGTAAAAATTAACTCTAATTTTTTCTATCTTTAATACCAATCGTTTCATGGGTTTAAATAGAATCCAATTTCTACTTATTAAAGAGATGTAACTTTTCATCTATAAGTATACATCACTTATCAAGGAATACACCTAAACAACATAACCTTTCCAAGAAATTGGTTAACAATATTTTTTATTCAATTATTAAAATTATATATTACAATATATAATTTCCAACACGTCTTTGGTCAGCCTAGAGCAAACGGCACCAGTAGAATTGTGATCCTCCTCAAACCATCTGACTTCAAAAGTGAGTATCTTGGAAAGCAACCTCCCTCTAATCCGATTAGTCAAGCACTCCCCCACGTACGCAAAATTGTAATGCTCGACGGTATTAATCTCCATTGTAAAATCGGACAGTCCAAAAAAAATTAACACAAAGGTTCTTATTCTCTTTAACCTCGTCATAATCCGTCACAAAAAACACAGACAACATGCCCCCCTGGATGAATCCAAACACCGGTTGAATTGCTCCGAACAAAACCGCACTCAAACACCCCAAAACCTATATTTAATGAAATTTTCTATTGTTTGAAAAAATTAAGAAACTAGTAATGAAGACTAAAGTGATAAGTTTTTAAGAACAAACTTTATTGTAATTTCTCTTGTTTTCTCTACAATTTATTTATTTATAATAAAAAAACAATTGATTTCTTTTTATATACATTTAGTATAATTAACCTGCACTACAACAATTTATTAGTCTCAAATTTTGATAAGTGTACCAATCCAAGATTGCACAAACTCATGGTTTTTTTTTTTTTTTTTTTTTTTTGTTGAAAGCACACAAAACTCAAGTAACCACACCAACTAATAAGCTTTTGGCAGCTAGTCAGCTATGGTTCCGTCGTCGGGAGGTTGACCAAGCAGTGATAAGCCCCCGCGGGCCCCTTAGCCAGCAGAGAAGAGTGGGACCCCTTCTCCACCACCTTCCCCTTTTCCAGCACAACTATGACTTCGCACTTCTGTACGGTACTCAATCTGTGCGCCACCACGACGCTAGTCCTCCCCGCCCTCAGCCTCTCGAGCGCCTCCTGCACCACCTTCTCTGATTGGCTGTCGAGCGCGCTGGTGGCCTCGTCCAATAGCAACACCGCTGGATTTCTTAGTACTGCCCGGGCTATTGCTATCCGTTGCTTTTGTCCCCCTGATAGCTGCACTCCTTTGTCCCCGCACGACGTGTCGTATCCGTCCTTTAACCCGCTGATGAAATCATGAGCGTTGGCTGCTTTGGCCGCCTCCACGATCTCCGCCTCGTCGACGTTATTGTTGGACGATCCATATGCAATGTTGTCTTTTATGGTTCCGGCGAATAACATTGGCTCTTGGCTTACCAATGCAATATGTTTCCTCAATGATCTAAGGTTGTATGACCTTAAATCTCGACCGTCCATTTCCAATACACCTTTGATTGGATCGTAGAATCTCTCGATTAATCCAATGATGGTCGATTTACCTGCAGGAAGTTTTGCTTGGGTCACAAAACTTTTAAATTTGAAAATGGAACAAATATATTCCTCTTTTGACATACCTTATATCTATAATATTATTAGGCCTAATTGGATTAATAGTTTTCGTGGTAATATGGTAGTTGGAAGATAAGTGCTGTGGTGAAAAAAATAGGATTTAAGCCTGTGGTAAAGTCTGTTATGATTTATGCCTAAGATTGAAAATCTCGTAAATTTTCTGTTAATTATTAGCATGTGAGCTGCACATATTAGGATAAAACAGAACTCTCCATACACATATTACGCTAAAACGGACATCTCTGTTAATTGTTAACACGTGGGGCTGGCTCACATGCTAGTAACTAACAGAAAGTTGACTGAAAATTTTAATTTTGGGCATAAATCCTAACAGACTTTACCACAAGAACTTAAATCCTAGTTTTTTTTTTTACAACATGAACTATCTTCCAATTACCTTATCTCTACGAAAATTATTATTCCAATTAAGCCATATTAATAATGAGGGGTGCACTAAAAAGAAATATTAAAGAGAGTAGAAAGACATAAACGCAAAACAGAGCGATCAGTTGAAGAGGAAAACTAAATAGGAAAAAAAAAGTAATTTAATTGTTAACTTTCATCTAAAACTAAACATAAAAAAAAGGTAATTTAATTGATTCCAAATATTAAAAATATTTTTTGGCATAAGATAAAGTACTTATACCTGATCCACTTTGACCCACCAAGGCCGTAGATTTTTCTGCTTCAATTTTGAACGAGAAGTCTTGCAAGATCATCACACTCGGCCTAGTTGGGTATGCAAAATAAACATGACAAAATTGGATCATGCCCCTTATCTTTTCCACTTGGGAGTTCTCAGGAACTTGGGGCTCAATTTTTGTCGTCCGGTCCAGAACACTGAAAATCGAACCGATTGCGTACAAACCAATGGCAAGGTCCGACGTCATACTTCCAGCATCGGCAATAGTTCGGCCAGTTGTTACCTAAATAGGATAAGAGGTTTTGGTCACAACTCCTCAGAATTGTAAAGAAATCATCATATTTTAATTTGTTTGAAAGTGTTTTTAAAATGACTGAAAGCGTTAGAAAATGTTTTTGAATTTCAAATGTACTTAAAATGTTTCATGCAAGAAACACCAGTTAAAATGTTTTCAAAAACATTTTCACAAAAAACACTTTTAATTCTTTTTAAGCACTTCACACGAGCCCGTTGTTAGTATATGTCGCAAGTAAACCGTTTATTATACTTTTCAAAAACTTAACATTTTCCCCTTTAAAAAGAAAACAAAGGTGACACACATTTTGTAATGTCTTAGCCTACTACTAATACTATAACTTCTTTACTGCAAAATTATTATTCAATATGATGCGAAACAAAACTTTCATTATTACTACAAATGATGAAAGAATTACCATTTAACTTTAATCTAAGCTAATGAAAAAAAAAAAAAAATTAATTGCTGCCTACTAGTGTTATTCAGTATTATGATCTAGTGTTTCTCTACCATTGTAAGTGAGTGATTTTATGTTAAAATCTCGTAAGTGATTAGTACACAACTAATTATCTTTCAAACCACTTAGTGTAAATATATTATTGTACGAAAAATTAAGGCCTGCTACTTATACTATTTTTTGACCCAAAAGAAATTAGCACTTACCAAAATGGCGATGGTTTGAAACGCTGCTCTTGATGTGATGTGGCCGTTAGAGATGAGCATGCCACCCCACAGAAAGCTCAAGCCCCAATTGAGGAGGGTGATGCTCTGCGCAAACCCTAGCCCAATGCCTGCGTACCATGACCATTTGATGTTCTCTCTACGTGGGCCCACTCGCGTCTTTTGCAACATCTTGAGAATTTTGTTTTGGGCGGAGAAGGCTGTGATGGTGCGGTGGTTGGCGACTGCTTCGGCCGCAAGCTTGGAGCTTTCCTCTTGGGCTTCGACGGCTTTGGTGGAGGTCGTTTTGAGTAGCACTCGCTTTGCATAAAAGCTCGCAATCACTATTGGTTGTACGGCTATTATGACGATTGCAAGCTTCCACGCGATTATTAGACCCATTGCCCATGCTATGGCTACGCCTGCGAATGTTTGTACAAGAAAGCCCACTCTGTCACCCACTAAAGATCCCACCTGCCAATTGCCAAACTATGGTTATTCTACAGATTAATCTTTCTACAGAACTAACACATTTTTTTATTTCTATTTTTTTTAGCGAAGAACGAATTGTGGATAGGTTGTTGATAATGTGTTATTACCAGTATCACCAACAAAACCTAGCAATATATTACCAATGCATTTTCAACTTATAGATATCATAGTTAAAAGCAAATAACCAACGGATAAAATTTCTGATAGATTGGGGTAATGAAAGTATTCTTTTGTATGCAAAGATTGGTGATACGCAGTTTATATTCTATTGATATTTTGCTAATATCAACAGAACATAGATAATGTATGTGCATTATTATATAAAATTGAGCTAAAGGGAAAGAATGGTAATTTTCGCATTCTAATTTCGGGTTGCATTATATTTTTTAGTCTCTTAATTTTCTTTAGAATTATTCATTTATAGAGCTAAAAACAAGATGAGAAGCGTAAAAAGAGACACGACGGAAAAAAATGATCATTTTTTAAGAAAAGTTGTTAATAAATATTTGTCGAACAATATAGTATGTTACGTTATTACGTACCATTTCAGCATCTTTGGCCAGTCTAGAGCAAATGGCACCACTAGAATTTTGATCCTCCTCAAACCATCCGACTTCAAAAGTGAGTATCCTGGAAAGCAACCTCCCTTTAATCCGATTAGTCAAGCACTCCCCCACGTATGCAAAATTGTAATGCTCGACGATATTAATCCCCATTGTAAAAACGGACAGTCCAAAAAATATTAACGCAAGGGTTCTTATTCTCTCTTTAACCTCGTCATAATCCGTCGCGAAAAACAGAGACACCGTGGCGCCTTGGATGAATCCGTACACCGGTTGGACTGCTCCGAACAGAACCGCACTCAAACACCCCAAAACTGCTTGCTTCCACTCTGGCTGACAAATCGGCAGCAATCTCCAAAACGACGAAGTGTGTTTGGACTGGTTAGTCGTGCTGTTTGGACATTCTCGGGCACTACTAGTACTGTCAAATGCAGCGACCCTGGGACTCGAGTCCGGTTGATCAGCCAATAATAAAAGACTAGTACTAGTACTGTTGCAGTGAAGGGACATACTTGCGGTGCATTCTTCTGGATTTTTTATCGTTTGTTGGAGACGGACAAATGAGGAGTAGAGGCTGTTTTGGCTTTGAACCAGCTCTTCGTGTGAGCCAATTTCTATGACATTACCGGTTTGCATGACTGCAATAATGTCAGCGTTTCGGATTGTGGACAAGCGGTGCGCGATGACTATGGTTGTTCTGCCCACAGCTGCCTTGTGGAGGGCCTCTTGGACGAGCCTTTCGGATTCCAAGTCCAATGCGCTGGTGGCTTCGTCGAGAAGGAGGATTCTGGGTTTCTTTATTACTGCTCTTGCAATGGCTATTCTCTGCTTCTGTCCGCCTGAGAGTTGCATGCCTCTCTCACCAACCTGCAGTTCATATCTTTTGAATTTTTACCAATTTACTATAACGTGATTGTAAGTCTTTATGAGTATATAACTAGTGTAAATAGTTGTTTTAGGGGTAAATTATGTCGATTATACATCAATGTCACTCATTCAGGAAAAACTTTGATAAGTAATGTCCTTTGTAGTTATATTTTTATCAATTGCAGTCCAAATTAAACTTTCAGTCTAAATTCCAGGAGCAAATATATCATTTTGAGCCTAATTCAAGAATCTGACAGGCTTCAATGCCTTAAAAACTATTTTTAATCACCCTCGAACGTGCGAAAACTAAACAAATTTGGATACATGGTTCGGTTTGGATTGATAAGAAACATACATATGAAGTATGGTCAAGAGTTTTTCCATCACAAGAGTAACATCTACATATCACACGGTGTTTTGTGTGTGCAGTTGGACGTGGGGAAGAGTGGAAGAGTGGAAGACCAAATTGCAGCGACTAGGGTGTTTTGTGTGTGTAGTAAGACGGTCACGATGATCCAGTTGTGCAGACCCCAAATTTCTCTCCCTCAAATGAGTGATTTGTGCAATTTCACGTTGTTTTAATTTCTAGTAGGGAATGTTAATTTACCTGAGTATCGTATCCTTGAGGCAGTTGACATATGAAATCATGGGCATTGCTAGCTTTGGCAGCCTCAATCACTTCCTCTATTCCACCATCCTCCTCCTCCTTCCCAAAAAGTACGTTCTCCTTAATGCTGGTTGAGAAAAGAGAAGGCTCTTGGCTCACTACTGCCATTTGTGACCTAAGCCACTTGAGCCGCAACTCATTAATGGCAATTCCATCCAGAACAACCTCTCCCTCAAGTGGGTCATATAATCTTTGCAGCAAAGATATCACTGTGGATTTTCCCGAGCCACTCGAACCTACCAAGGCAACAGTCTTTCCTGCTGGTATGGTGAGGCAAAATTTGTTGAGGATGATGCTATCTGGCCTTGATGGATAGGCAAATTTGACACCCTTAAACTCTACTTCTCCTGAAATATTTTCTAAAACTTTGCCTCCCATGTTGTCTGAATCGATGTTGGGGACTAGTTTTATGGCCTCCATTATTCTCTCACCAGCTGAGCATGCTTCAGCAATGTACTTCAGGTTGGATAGTGCAGCTCCCATTGCTCTGTTCACCAAAAACAAATTAGTATGTACAAAAAACCGGTTAGAATTTATTCTCTACATCATAATTTTGTTGTGTGGGAAGAGGAGGGTGGGTGGGGGGTTTGGGAAACAGGTATGCTCAATGTGAATACTGAAAAATTATCGCTGTACGTTAAATCACCTGATAGGTCATTTGTAGTTGTTCTTACTTAATACATGTTCCTACTTCGAAAAATTCGTTACATAACATAAAATAGTTCTGTTGATTCTAAAAATTACACAGACTTCTTGACGTGTAGGTGGAAATAACTAGAAGCTAACTACGTCCTTTGGTGGCTTGTGGTGAAATGCGTTGTTGACTTCTGAATTGAGCGACTTCAACCGAGGAAGAAACAATTTTGGCCTGACTTCTATAACCTGAAGATAAGGTTATACATCATTGTGAAGTTTGAAAATGGTTCCGCTGTTTGTCTGTTGAGCTCTAAAAATGATACCTCACTTCGCCGAGAAGGCTAATGAAGTGACCTCTTTAGGCGAAAGAATTAAATACTCTTTGTCGACTAAGACTTGAGATAATTAGTAAGCCACAGACTTGGGAGAGTCCCCGTCTATTCAGTTGGCCGAGACTCCTAAACCAAACTGATTCTACAACTCTGGCCCTGTCTATTAGTAAGCCACATGAAATGATTCATATTATCATCATAAATTGAGGAGAAATTTGCTTACAATCCGCCGTTGACGATCGAGAAGCCGACTGCGAAAACGGTCCCACCTAAGGCACCGTGGTAAATAACCATTCTGCTACCGGAGTAGGACATGACAGCCCAAATGGAGAAAGCAATGCCGGAGCTGCCAATAGCAAAGCCTTTAACCAAACCTTCTTTAACCCCAGCTTTGTCGTCCCGTGCAGAGCTGTACAAAATTGTGCTATAGTCTTGTTCTCTCCAACGAATGCATAAACAGTTCTAATGGAAGATACTGCCTGCTCGGCTATTGTCCCGGCCTTAATCTTCTCTTCTCTTCTCTTCCTCGTTAATCCGGTTAAAGTTCTTCCGCAAATCCAACCTGGGACAACCAGAAGCAATGCGAAAGGGAGTCCCACCATAGCCAGTTCCCACAGCAGTACAAATGCCACCATGTAACCCGCGATGAATGTTGACACTTTGCTTAAAAAATCTGGCACCTGGTCATTCATATTTTAGAAATTGGACTTTGGACTCTACCAATTTCATATACTGTGTGCGTGCGTGTGTAATTCTCTAGACAGGACGTAAACTTGAATTTGTAATTGTATTGGTTGGTCCAATTAATTTCAATTCAACAAATACAAAGCCTTTAATTTTTTACATCAAAGATTCGAAACTATATTTATCTAATAATATTAGTTGATCATATTCTCTGTTTCTTGCCTATGTACAATTTTTAACCTTTGCTTGCAGACTATTATTTTGGTTAATTTTTCATTTCCCTCTATTATATCATTCAATGAAGAAGAGAAAAAGATTTCTTGTATCCAAATTAGCACAAAAAAACTTCAAATTCTCTCATGTCTAATGTTGTTACAAAAATGTTCTCTTGCTCACCATGAGATATGAAATGCATGATCACTCACTATTGAATTTGATATCAAGAATGAAGAATAAATGGATATGCTTTTAATGTTTTATTTTCAAGTCTTGATATAGTTGTCCACATATAAAGAAGAATAAATGCATGGTCACTCACCTTTGAATTTGATACCTAGGTGCACCAAACAACGACAATTTAATACTAAGGAGACTAAATTTTTTAGAACTAAAGGACATGGAATGTTAATGATTTATTTATTACTTAAGTGTTGATAAATGTGCTTATTTATATTAGTGACGCATCATTTAATTAACAAATTTTATCTCCAAATTTGATCTCCTTAGCATTACTCTATATATGAACGATTTCATTTATAGATAGTTGTCCATATATATTATGTCCATTTTAGTATGAAGTGTGACCATGCTAACATGAATTTCTGACTTTGTGATTGTATATAATTAGAATTTAGAAAATAGATTTGTAGGATCAAACCTTTTCACCAAGCACATCTTGGATGACCTGAATGTCGTTTGAGATGCTTGTGATGACCTCGGATGTGCTTGTTACATGCAAATCAAAGTAACCTACATCTTGCCTTAACACTGCTTTCAAATACCTACTTCTCATTCTTGCAGTTTGTCTCTCCCCTGTTCTTGTCCAACAATAACCCTCTAAAACAATCACAATTACACAAAAAATTATTCAAAATAAAACAAAAACCATAAGACTCGTTTGACGCTTAACATTGGATCGCTCGGATTGATTACCTAAGAAACAAGCAACCCACGACGCCAAAGCTAAGTAAACGAAAGCGAGTATTCCGTCCTGCATGAGGCCATTGAGATCAGAAACCAACGTTACAAACTTGATATTGGAATTTCAGTACTGGTTTTTCAGTGTTTGTGTTTATGCATGTGTGAGGAGAGAGAGAGAGAGAGAGAGAGAGAGACCTTATTGATATAACGGTGCAAAATATGTGCGTCGAAATCTGAGGCTCCATGTTTGTCCGCTCTCCCCATAAGGTTAAACAACCTGCTAGCGAGAACGGCAAGCAACCGCGAGGTCAATCCATCAAAAATGGCTCCGAGCAACCCTAGAGTCATCAACAACATGTCCACTCCATCTGCATGCGCGAAAATGGAGCGTATCGACCCGTTTTTCTTCTTCTTCTTTTCTCCATTACTACTCTTCTCTACACTACTCATTTTTTTCTGAGTCTCTCTCGGAGATGATGACAAGCAGTAGTAATTAGTAACGCAAAAATAAACCTGCTGGCCTGCTTGTTTATAATGGCCACTGGATAGCATCCGTCTCCTGCTTTATTGGTAGTTGGCTTATAGTGCACACTGACAAATAATCCAACAATTTATAAAGTGATTTGGATAGAAAAGTCTGGAAATTATTTGTTCAAGTTGGTGGAACATAGTACTTAATGCATGTAGTGTCACATTTTGTTGTTATTCAGACGGAAGAAAATTGGAATTGAGTCCAAATTAGTCTTATGGAGTCTCGATCCAACAAAAGAGATTATAAAAGACAATATGTCGGTCTCATATTCAATTCAATTTAATACGAAATATGTATTGTTCATTGCTTTTTTTAAGTGGAATTTAAAACATTTTATTTTTTTCATGTGAGGAGTGACATTGAGAATAATAAGATGTGAATTTGCAAAATTTAGCATATTCGAATCCACATTTACAAAGGCAAATGTTATTCTATGGTTCTAGTGTGTGTGTGTGTGTGTATAAAGCAAAGTTTATACAAAAGTTAACGTATCTACAAGGACTCAACTCAGGGATTAAAAATTTCCATTGGATTATTGTTAAAAGTATAATTTGGTATCTTATAGTGGGAGACGAACTAAAAAAGTTTCAAGACATACAAGACACTCAGTTTAGCATCATTGTGCGCCACCAATTAATCTATCTTTTAATAATGCATCTCGAATAAGTTAATAACATTAACTCCATGTTTACTTCAATGGAATATGATTCTCTCCCTTCAATTTTTTTTCCTCTCTAATCCTCTTATTAAATAGTCAAGATTAAACACGTGAACATGTTGTGTTAACTCCAACTTAGATTCCTGTTTGTATCACTTCCTTAGCTAGGATTGGATTAGCTAGGATTATAATACCATGTTTGATGTGCTGAAGGACTAATTTAAATGAGACTATAAGTGACTTCTGTGGATTACGGATAGGTGGTCTAATTTAGTCTACGCGGAAGGGTGTTGAAAACAAGACTATAATATTTTTTTTTTTCAACAGTCGTTATTATCTACACTAAGGGGAGGAGGTAGGCTCAGCCTCACAATGAGCCAACAATAATGTAGTTCAAATTCGCATTTGGCGAGAATCGAACCTAAGTTTTTAGTACTACGGTCTAGTGATATTCCTCTTCACTTGTAAGTGAGAGGTTTTAAGTTCGATTTTCGTTAAAGGCGAGTTTTAACCACATTATTGTTAACTCATTGTGAGATTATTCCCACGCCTCCTCTTAGTAGATAATAGTCGTTTATTAAAATAAATAAACAAATAAACGAGATACTCCTAATTTGTAGCAATCCATATGGATTCCTAAAGAATAGGACTTCCACTACTTGTTTACAAATAACTAAACATCAATAATTAATAAATCAACGGTATGCTCGACAGACATCTCTCACACTTTATGTGAAGACTAATTGCTTCACTAACCATGAGCACGAATTTCGATTGGATAAACGTGGTTGAGTTGACAGCCGACTAAATAGACGAGGTTTTCTAAAGTAACCATGAAAATGACCGATTGGATGGAAAGGCATTTTCCTAAGTCTTTGGTTGCCTATTTATCTTAAGTCTCAGCCGGTAAAGAGTCTTCGATTTTTTCGCTGAAAGATGTTTCTTTATCAGCTTTTTTGTGAAGAGTGAGTCTATGTTTAGTCACTCTCAAGTCATCTTTAGAGTTCGGTACGCAAACGTTCGAACCACTTTTACAATAAAGACAATCATCTTCTTTGAGTATTTTTGTTCATACAGCTTGATATCGATTCGACAAGCCTACATTCTCACCAATTGAATCTAGGCTACCGAACCTGGTGCAAATGATTCATAAACTTCATAGCGATTTGTATAACATTATCTTCAAGTTATAAAACCCAAGGTGAAGAGTATTCCTTATTCGTCTGATGTCGCTCAATTCAAAATTTAGCAGCGCATTTCACCATATTCACGTTATTCATTCAGCCGATATGGGCAACGAATTGGCACACGCTCGCATCAATATTCAAGCCACCGAAAAAACGCATTTAACTCCTAATTATTTCGGCTTGGAGGCCCCATGAGCTTTGGTATTTTTAGGACCAAGAAAGCTATAATGAAAATAATTTTCCTCCCCATCTATATTCAATTTCACTTGCCAAAAATTTCTTTATTAACTCAATCTTAATATAGAAAATATTTTGTGAGAAATTCAAACACAAGGGTAGTTTAGCAAACAATATTAATAACTTGAGCGACAACTTCGAAGCACAAAACTTCAGATACACGAGCAAATACCACCTTTGTTGAAAATTGAATACGACCTTCTTTTTCCAAGTGTTGGTAGTGGGCCTTTTTGGGCCTCACCCATCAAAAATTAAAAAGGGAAGTGGGCCTAGTCTTGGGCTTAAAAAAACAAATATGAATTTATGATCTCGCATATAAGTGAGACCATCCGCGGTCGCGTGTGATGGTCTGAGACTGGTTGAGCACTATATATTTGCAGAAGAAGCGCGAAAAAGAAGCACACAAGTCATGGCGGGAAGCGACGCTCGGAAGCAGCTTCTGAACTTAATTCACGATTTCGCATCCGAAAAGTCGCACGGAGGTACAGTCCTTACCTGCACACCTTTTCCCGTTCTGCATTCGCCACTCTGTTTGGTTCCTGAGAAAATGTGGAGGAAAGGGAAAATTTGAAAAATCAATTTTCACCTGGAAACGAACAAATAGAGTTCCGATTTCTTTGATTTTCAAAATTCAGCTAAAGGACTTTGCATGTGCATGATTTGAGAAATGCAGAGCGAAGAGTGGTAAGTCTGAGGAAGCGAATCGAAGAGCTCGGTTCCGAGCTGGAAATTGCAAATGCGGAGCTCGAAGAAGCCAAGCGCACCAAGGAAACCGCCGAGCAAGAGGTCAAAGGCTACGAAGTCGAATTGGCGATGAACGAAGCAACGGTTCAAACGCTGGAGGTTTGTTTGTTATTTTTGCGCATTGTTTGGATTGAGTGATTTTGTTCTTAATTTGATTAGGTTCCGATCGGATTTTCAAATTCAGTTGAGGATTTCTCATACGCAAGACGAGATTTCCGCCGTCGGATCTGAAGTAGAAGCTCTTAAGGTATTGAAGTTTCAGTTTCTTGTAATTTTCTCAGCTATAATCTTTGATTACTTATCCTAATTTTACATTGTTTTTGTTGGATCTTGCAAAAGAACAAAGAAGCTGCTTCGAGGTATGAAATTTTCATCTCAATTGTTTTTACTTCTATTTTTCACATCTGTTTTTCTTTTCGAAATATTCCAATTGCTTACCTTCCTATTTTCCATAATTGTTTACGCAGGGACGAGTTTATAAGCGAAATGTTTGAGATTAACGCTAAGATAAGGTTAGCCTCATTTCAATAGCAAAATATTGTACTTGTATGCTCCATTTAATGCATATCTTAAAGGAGAAGAGAAGACATTTTCGTATTCTTGACAGGCATATTACCGAATTTTGCTTTGATCAATACTGACATTTTATACAACTTGATCGACCGCGACCAAGCTGCAGTTTGTAACAAGTTCACAGATAATTTGGAATACTCGACATATTTATGTGCCCCGTTTAAAGTCTACTTTCACGTGATTGATGCGAGTCATATTTCAAAAGCGATTAGTGCCTTCCTGGCAGTTACTAAATTACTACTGTACTTGTTAACATCTGTGAATGTAGAAAGTTCCAAGAGTCAATTGCTGGCCATATTCATGAGGAAGAGTACTGTGGAAGTGCAGAAGGTGATGGCCTACGTACGTTTTGCCATTAACCTGTAGAATTGATCTCTTGACATAATTCAATTTGTTGAATCTTCTATTTGTTATGGACCAAACTCGTCCGTCTCTCTTTTAATCTTCAAAATTAATATTTCTCATAAGAGGAACAAAATGATTCCTAATGTAGTGTGGGTAGCAACTAAAATAAAATTGCAATTTTTGTTTCAGAAGAAGATCCCAAGCTAGGAGAGGAGGAGGTTACTGAAGGTGATTTAAGAGAACTTGAGGATATGCTTGCTGGTGTGGTGTCTCAGACAGCCAAAGCGGAAGAAGAATACAAAGCTGAACAGAACACTCAAAAGCAGGTGAAGAAATCGGTCTTGGAAACATTACGAATGGGTCTTTACGGTTTGCTAGAAGCTTAGCTTAAGTAATTGGATTGTATGGCACTTCTGCCTCTGCAGGTCCAGCAGGCGCTGAGTGATTGTGAAAGGAAGGTGTTCTTGATGGAGGAGACGTTCAAGGCAACGAAAGAAGTGCATGATTTGACAAGATATCCTTTTCAAGAATGCATTGGTTACTGAAATTATTCAATGCTTAAGCAAAAAATATATTTTTCCTCCGGACCATCGAGAAAATTTGAATGCAAAGAAAACTAGGCATCCGATATGGCAATTATTTATTGATCATAGGTGAATGATTTTAAAGCAGTCCCAATGCTTATAAATGATTATGAGAATAGTCAAATGCACTTCGTAGGCCGTTTGAATGTTTCATCGTTTGAAAACTGCCATAATTGAATGAAACCCTATCCACAAGGGCTATTTGTACAAGCTTCTTGGACAGCTTTCTTCCGAAGTGAATGCCTGTTTTAGTCATGAAGTCTAGAATTTAATTTGCTATGCTGGATTTTAAGGTCTAGTATGTCATAAATACCATATTTGTGAGCATGACCTACATAAGTTTTGCCTTTGACGGGAAACAAGCAGAGTTCAGAATTGGAACAGATCTGTGCTACCATTGGTGAGACGTTGCAGAGCAGATGCGTGTGTCCCAGTTGTCATTTTGACAACGTGGACGTCCTGGGTGGATTAATTCAGTCAAGTGAGGCAAATTAATTTTTTGTAAGTAATCTACTTCACATAACTACACTTTATATGTTCGTTGTACCTAACATGTAATGTACTGCAAATGAGAAATTGTAGAATCTATATGCAATTTAGCAATGACCACAGTTTGCCTCTGAGTTTTTTAAGGTTCCATGCTGCTGAATTTAAACAATTGAAATTAAACGACTATAACTATATCATAGATAATTGCTTACTACACTACATTGGAGAGCATGCATCCAACAACACACTTGCCAAATGCTAGCTGCAACCACTGTCATCTATTTGTTCTATACAACTTCCATTTTGTGTTGGTGATTCTTCGAAATCCTTTACGATCAATGATAAAAATGTAGAACTGGCCTCTTCATCACTGTTGCTCTGCATCTGCATTGATAAATTTCTTCTCATTATTCCAACAACAAAAAGCTTTATCTTCTTACAAAACTCAAATTGAACATGACATATAGTTTACTGAACTTGACCTTGTTAGAGAGAACTTACAATTTCTTTAGGAGTTTGTATGGCGGGAAGAATGGTATGCATTGAAACCATTCTTGGATTAGTAGACTGTTCTACGTCTACCTGTGTTGAGAATAGGGCAGAGACGGGCCGATGGTCTGAGAACTTACTTTCACTACGGAAATAAGAGAGCTGTGTCACCCCTTTTCCATACCACAGAATTCTATCACACCTGCCACCATAATTAAATTACGTCTTTAGTTTTTATGTAACAGAAGAAAGTTAAGGTATTTGTTGATCAAGGCTCATGGGAGGCCTATGGGGGGGTAGACAACTGATTCCGGTGGTTCTTACCATGCTGGAGTCCTTTGCTTCTCTCCTGATCTGCCTGGAAGCCCACCTGAATAGCGATTGCAATTTGATGAAGAATACTTATAGGTAGGTGCAAATTCTAAAGCTCCCTCCTTCCAACCCTGAAATACCCCACCATATTCTCGTTCCCTACGAAGTTGATCAAATTCTTGCAACGCTGTCCAGTCTAGTTTCTTTATCATCTGCCTGGCTGAATTGTCCTCCAAGTATAGCCTATAGTTGAGATCCCCGAACCAGAAAATCCGACTGTTTCACAACAGAAAAATTAGCCGTTAAGGATGACTTCTTCCATTCTTTGATAATTTTGACTCATTCAGTTAATTGGGTCATCCAGATACCTTATTGGTTTTAAAATCTGGTTAAATTTTGACAGACTTCTGTGAGTATTGAGTTTTGGTTACGTTAAAGCATACTACTAGTTGTCAAAGCTGTCCTATCATTGTCAGTTTTAGGAACTCTTGTAATTATTGGGTTGAATAACGAATAACGGGAAAATTTTACTGCTACATTTCTACTGGGAGGAACACGTACTCGTGTCCTAAGATGGTGAGAGGATGAGGAATATCGTCGTCTGAAGAGGATCGAGGGAAAGCCGTTCGCTTAAAAATCTCTGCGACTTGATGATTCCTTCTACCTTCATCTCCTTTCTTCTCTCCAGAAGCTAAATGGGCAACAACAAAGCAAAAACTAGTTCTCTCGATTGTCATGCTAACTGAAACCGAACCTTTGTTTCCCAAATAACCCATGATGCCACAGGCCACGGAACAAACTTTAACATTTGAAATGTTATATTTTCTGACCAATTCACTTTTCATCCATACACTAATGAAGACTCCAACCATCTTCTTGCTTGCAATTAGCTTGTACTTACTCACACTATTTGGCTTTTCTTGTAGGGTTCTTGATTGCTCCCTCGTGATTTCAGGTTCGAGTTCAGAAAGTTGCACATAATTGTAGTTCTCACTAGAAATTGGATGAACAATGGGCGTCGACCAAGGGCATCCGAATTTTTCGTTGAGAGTTTTCCCTATCAGCAGGTTCCAGTTTCTTGCTTCGGTTGGGTCTTCCACTCCTATCACATTTCGGGTCTTCAAAGGTACGATCTCCTGAAATCTGCAAGCGAAATATCCGAGTTGTGATATCCATGCGACTTTCTCATATTAGTCAGAAAAAAAATCAAGAAAATATGAACACTATATGTAATGTTGAGTTCCAAGTTTATATAACATACCCGAGAACATACATGTCTGCCGCGTCCTTAAGATTCAACCACTCATCCAAATCTACTGCCAAGCTCCCTCTGGGAGACCTTCCAGCAACATTCCAAGTTCCCACAAAGATTCTAAAACATACGAAAATGGTTATCAGACGAAGTACTATAAGATCATACACTTTCCTGTTGCTTTCTTTCTTCCATAAATCGAAAAAAATTACCTCAACTCACTAGTTGAAGTGCATGGATCCATCTCTATGGACTGAAAGAGAATATCATCCAAGTAATCTGCGCTTTCATCTTCGCCCCCATCTGGAGAAAAATTCAGTAAACTTCAGTCCGGATTGAACTTACTCTGTGGACAGAAGAAGAATAAGAACGCGAATAAGAAGGAAGTCGGTATCAAATCCATAGTTAGAAGAAACAAAACCTGAAACTTGACTCAGTTGATAGGATTCAGCTCTCTTATGCTTTCTCTTGAACCACTTTCTAAACATTCTTCCCCTAACTCTCCGGTCTTTCGTATGTCCATACATCAACTACAAAATAGGTAGAGCACTAGAGGATCGCCGTTGTGAAACTCCGTAATACTCCTGCGCCTTGCTGATCAGATGAAAGCTGTTCCCCTCCTACCATGGCGGCCTCTAGCCGCATTGCTCTGGACACAAAAACAAAACGCGGGTTTAGCTGTAAGAACATCGTATAGCCCGCCGTGTTCGGAAGCGATTCAAAGCATAGGAACAGACAAGCGCAAGAAGCTGAGAGAAAATACGGATCCGGCGGCAAACACAAGAGAGAAAACATACCGTGCGTGTGAAGGCAGAGATGGTTAAGAATTAGGATAAGTAGGGGAGGATTAAAAGCACAATGGCTCTTTCATTTGGTTTGATTATTCGGGTTGGTTAGGTTGGTGGTTGTCACGTTCGTGTCGTGGGATTTCTACGTGACAAGATTGTAACATGTCCAAGTCAAATAATTAAAAAGCCAGGTTATAGGCTTACAGCATTGGGTACACCTACGAGGGGTCCAAAGTCCAATCAACAAGCTAGAATATCTTTGTACATATCTGCCCCTATAGGCTTCTTAGACTTCACTAATTCTGCATTAACTAGCTAAATGGTGTATCTTCCATTAATTAATCACAAGTTGAACTATGTGTCTGGTTGTCAGCTGATACAAGTCTCACGACCTATCAATAACTTGTTAGACTAAATGAGTTGGTCCGGAAAACAGATTGTGTTTGTCGTTTTCGTGTCATACTTGTTATCTTAACGAGTTCTAAACAGATGACCCGATAATGATCCAATTTCTTTATGAATCGTGTTATTTCATGTCAGGTTAACAAGTTATGCAAGAAATTGTTTTGTCTAATGTATGGATCTGACAAACGATGTCTCATTGGGTTCTTACCCGATAATAACTTAACTCGTTAATTGATCGTGCCAGAAATTAACAGGTATATATGTGAGTGACTGTCAATCGTGGATGAAGGTGAATTTCATGACTCACCAATCGTCAATGAGAGTGAGGCCGACGACTCATCAACCACTGAGCTCTTTTGGTCTATATGTGATAAGTTGTTGTCCCAACTCCTAGTAAGGATTAATGGCCAAAATAAAACTCCAAAATGAAGATCATCTCACCATCGGTCCATGTGGGAGCATGGATATGGGGTCCAAAGTAGTAATGACGCCAGTGACTTGTACGTTTGGATTTATTGTACAAGCACATGAAGTATGCAGCATGCAAAAATAGGTCAGACAGGTGGTATGAATGAGTACGGCGATCAGTAAAAATAGCTTAGCTTCAAAGTTTGAAACTTTCAATATAACTATAAAAAACCTGGAAGCAGATTGTCTGCCTTCCTGTTTAGATGTCATTCACATTCCTTCCTAATTTATACGATCACAGTTAAACTATGTCAATATTTTATATTTCTATTACTTTTTGCCTTATTATCTCTATAAAAAATCAATATAAAATATTTACGTAACTTAACCGTGATCGCATAAAATAAGAGAGGATGGAAAGGATAGGCAATCTGCCTCCAAACAAAAGTTACGTTTTTCGTCGGTTGTGCAGGCTGGCCTTGAGTTAAAATCTTCTGCACTTTGACCTTTTGTGGCCTCAGTGTACCTTGCAGATTTGAACTGGCGGATCGGAATTAATTTGATCCACACTTATCCTTTGGAAGCTGGATTTTGACGTATTTTAATTAAATTCTTCTTGTTTTCTTGGGTTTGAGACATTCTGGCGGGAGAAGTCTATGCGATTATAGTCTTTGCAGATAGCTTTCTACCTCAAACTATAATGAGATGCTTACTCCTCAACCTTCGTTCCTTGGGGACCATTTGATTCCTTTTCCAATCATTACTCGTAAAATGACGACCATACCCTCCCATTCTAGCACCCATCATAGAAATTGAAGAACAATGCTTAGCTACTTAAAGATGAGTAGGAAATTCTACTTAAAATTTCTTAAAATTGTTCGTTGTCAATTTATAGAATTTTGTGTTTATAATCAGAACCGTTCATGTTATAAATCACCCTGTAAAGATTGTATTTGCAAAAAATCAATTAAAACTAAGGTCGTTTAGTCATCAAACTATGTAAAAACAAACCAACGGTATTTGTAAAAGCATTACGAATCGTCTATGTATTTACTACAATAAATTGACTAAACGACCTTAGTTTTAATTTATTTTTTGCAGAGATGATCTTTACCGTATGATTCATAGTATGAACGATTCTGATCATAAGCACAAAGCTTTGTGATTAAAACATTAAGAGTTTCGAGTGAGAGTTCCTACTCATCTTTGAGTAGCCAAGTATTGTTCGGAATTGAATACCTTGTCAAGTGTTTGGAAGTTTGTTTGGGTGGGAAAATTAACCTTGTTAATTTATTTGATATTGTTGCATCGCATATATGGCAGGCTCGGTTTTGTATCTATATTTCTTTTCATGTAATCTCTTACATGAGAAAACGTTTTCATTACGTGAAAAAAGAGAGAGATACTATAATATACGCCCAAATACATGCAAGTCTCTCTACAAGGTTATAATTCAAAAGGTACATACAAATTTCCGTCTCACTTAGTCACACAATGTTCATAATGAATTTCATTTTGATGGACGAAAGGACATTGCATGTGCTTATAAGTAAATTAGGCTACTCTCAAATTGTCAATTGGTTTTATAGTAGAACCTGAGCTTTTTTCATAGTATTAAAGCAAGTTGTCCCACGTGTAAAACTCAACTGCCACACGTGCTTCACATACCCTCTTGTGTTATCCACGTGTTAGGCTTGAAAATTCACACATGTACTAATGAAACATGTTGAGAATGAACACTACATTGATGGGAGGAAGGTTCTTGCACCCATATTGCCATACACATTGATAAGAGGAAAAATCTTGCATTCATATTACCAATTGGTTTTATAATGGAATCTCAACTTTCTTCGTATATGAGACCCTATTATTACACTCTAAACAACTCCTTCCAACATCACTAACTAAAACATATTACAGGTTTAAAAATCAGAATGCTGGTTTTTTAAACCCTTAACCCTACAACCTTAATCAGTTTCTTGCATCGGAAACCAAATGCTGCCGGAACATAACGATGAAAGCTTCCACTTTCTCATTCAAATCCTCCTTCGACAGCTTCCTAACCTCCTCGTCCTCCGCATCGTCTTCAACCCGCTCATGCTCGCTCTCACCACCGCCGCTGTCCGATCTCTTGCACATTTCATCCTCACATACCTTAACTCGTTCAACTATTTGAGGAGCTGATGGGCACCGATACTCTCTTCTCTTTACTCCTTCGTTGCTTTTGAATCCTTCGGCATTGTTTTCGCCATTGTTTTTGTTTTCACATTCTCGACCAATACTCGACGTCCCGGAAGAAATGGAGGTGAAAACAATGGCTAAGAGGACAAGGTTGAGTAGAAGGAAAACCCACGCCCGCCATTGCTCCATGAGAAACACCATTAACATAAAACGTTTCAAACATGCCATCAACACAGCTGCTCCTGCTGTGACCAAAACTGTGTTTATTCTCCCACTCTCTCTCATCTTCTCCATATGATATCAATGTGTTTGGTTTTCTCAGATGTTACAAATTGTGATATCATCTGTTTGGTCTGGTTTATATGTACCAGGGGCAGGGGGTGGGGGGATGGGATTTATCCGTGGGATTTTGGGTTGCTGAACAGGAGAGGATTTTGTGGGATTTGTGAGTGCGCTTCAGTTTTTCAAGGGGCAGCTGTGATGATCAGAGAGACGTGACTTAAGCTTGCTTGGGGAGGGGAGACATCTAGACATATATTCACTGAAGCCTGCAGTCCATGTTCTTCCTTTCAGCGACGTGAATTGCAACCATATGATGAGTTCTCCAATTTGGATTTAGTCTTCTAGCTGGTTGTGAAAGTATTCTTACGTGTAATCATTCTATCACAAGAGCAATTTACATGAAACGGGTTTATTGTCACTGCCACATGACGTCTTTTGTCCAATAATGCATTGACATGTGCACCGCTACGTAGCATACTGATCTAATGATACATTGCTGTGTGGGGAAAAACTGGCACATGACAATGTATTATTGGATAAATGACACCATGTAATGGTGAACATGTTTATATAAGTCTTTCTCCTGTTTCTCTGTTACGTGAGGAGTAAGTATGATAGAGGATATCCTCAATTACACTCAAAATGTTTTCTTGATTTTGGAAACTTAGCTTGCTAAATTCTCTTAATATATGTTCAATATGAGTTTTGTCATAGTCATGCAGGAATATATTCTGGACAATTTCTCGACTTTAGATTTAACCATGCAAGTTTTTTTACCTTTGGTTTTTAAGACATTCTCACACGTAATCAAATATGTTCATCACTCCATCTCACCCGTTACATAATTTAAAGTAATGAATGAGATTATGTGACAAAATATTCTGTTAAACCAACAAAAATTCTCTTAATTTTGGCGCTGGATTAAATTCCAGCCTACCAAAACAAAAGTCATTACTTTTGGGATTATCAAGGTCGATCTTCTTGCTTGTATGAAAATGGAAGAAAAATATCTCTACTAATTAATAAAATTTTCTTTGTCAATAAAAAAAATGTGAAAAGACAAATTAGCCTTCTATCATACAAAAAAAATTATGGGCCATATTGTAATTTCACATCTTCAAATTTTACTGTTTTTTATTGAAACTTTATCTATAGACGATGTTAAAATACCTTCAATATTAAAAAAACAAAAAACAAAAAATCTCCGACTCTCCCCATGTTCTCTCTCCTTCTCATTTCCCAAAAAAATATGTTCATTCATACAAATTATGTGGGCCAATGCTAGTTTGATTTAATTTAATTAAAGCTTAGGTTAGGCGAAATTCTAGAGAAGTAGTAAGGAAAGGCGCATGCCTTTTTACTCGAATCGGAAGTTGGAACTCAGAAAAGCGGGCCTTGCCGCGTAAAGGAGGGGCAACGAAATTATAAAACGTGAAGGTCGAAAAAGCACGCCTGTTTGCTTCATCATCAGAAAAACGACCCCTCATGCCACCGTAATTACATCACCACCACCGTCAGCGGCAGCAGCTGTCAGCACCAGAGAATCATTCTTTTGGTTCTTTTGGGTTCCTGCGTTTTTTCAAATTTTCATAGAAAGAAGAGATTTCAATCTACAGGTCCACAAGAATCTCTTGTCCAATTAATATTCAGTCTTGATATTGTGATGTGTTTTAAAAGTACATTCAAATGCAAATGTGGGCGTTAAGATGGTCCAACTAACCAAACCGGTCAATCTGAACCTGATTTGGTCTGGACCAAAAAAAAAAGGAACTATCTAAAACCAAACCGGGCTGAAATGCAAAAACCAGCTCGTTATGCCGTGGGCAGACATTTGGAAGCGAATTGCATCGGTTTTTAGATTGAACCCTTTGCGGACCAAACAGAAGAAAAAAGAATCAAGTAAACAAGAAATGGCCCAAACTTTCAGCAACTAGACACTGAAGTGGTTATCATTCTAAACTGCTCTAATTTTCTGAGGGGATTGAATCAGGATGCAAGTAGACGGACACACTACCTTTAACCAAACTGATCTAACTCACATGATGACTTGTTCGAGCAGCTTCCTGTGCTACGAGAATGAGATACAAAAGATTCTAAGCGTCAGCTTGCAATATGCTTACTGAAAATCGCAGACGATAAATGTTTGGAGGCATCTTGGAAGAAGTTTTGAGAGGAATTGATTTGTAAAAATAGTATTGAAAAACTGAGAATTAACGGACATTACTGCATATTTATAAATCTCTCTTGCCGCCTCTCTCTTTCCCTCTTTCTCCCCTGATGCTATGCAGCCAATTGTCCGTCAATTTTTGTCAAAAAACATCCTTCGAAAACTACCTCTGATCGTGGTTCTTAATCCCATCTCTTCCCAGACAATGATATGAGCTGCCAACAAATGAAAGATTAAGCGAGATCAATGACCCCGTAGCAGTAACTTAACAGGCATATAGATTATAGAGTGTAGTCCCCAAAAATAAAGATTTCACAGACAAACCATATATCAAAGCATAAATAAGTTTGGAGGCAACAGCGGCTAAGTTCCGTATTTAGCAATCTTGTTATAGTTCTCGCCTTGGGGATTAAAGCTCTACAATATACTTCAGGTCATTTCAACCAAAGATCCCGAGTTTCAATGGAACATTACAATATCCAATTGTATTTGTTTTGCTCTGTGAAATTTAACAAATATGCGTGAATTGTAACACATTTCATGATTCATGGTTGCCTAATTGACCTACTTTCCTCCCCAGCCTAAGTAAACTTTTCCCAAACACAGTGCACAGTGACCTTAGCCCTTGGCGTGCTAATACAATTCACGGATGTGAAAAATAAGGTCAAGTTATCTCAGTTTTCAATTCAAATTTGGAATGAAGAAAAGGACTGTTGGCAACCAACCTGTCGAGCAACCTGAGCCAGTCGCCGGCTGTCCCTAGATAATTCATCTGTCGTTTGTGGCTGTTGTGCAACACATTCTTTCTCTTCCATCCTCCTCTTAGCAGTGATCTCTTCACCAGGATTCCTTGAGGAATTCTTGCGCTTCCTCTGGAAAGTGTACTTGAGAAGTCTGCTGTTGTCCACATGACTAGGAGATCCATTTGATTGTTCTGATGCTCTCACGTCTTTTAATTCAGAACTCATCAATAATGCACTTGCATCTTTTAATTCAGATTTCATCGATGATGCATTCACATGTTCTAGTTCAGAATTCATCAATGACACTTTGACAGTTTTTAGCTCGGAGTTCATTAGTGATACATCAACAGAACAAAGGTCGAGTTCAGAACTCAGGGCCTCTGAATTCTCAATACCATCACTTTCCGTCATCAACACAGGCACATCTATCAACTCCATGTCCTTGTCTGCTGCATCCTGGACAGTTCCAGATTTATTCATCCCCTTCATGCTCACCGCGACACTAGCTGACCCTGATATAGGATCCACATCATTTCTCATTAATCTCAACCCACGATCCAGACGGGGCAATGGCTTCATCTTAGCCGCATTTTCAGTTGTGATTGGTTGATCTTCCCAAGATTTCACACCACCATAAAGTAAATACGCAAAAGTCCTGCAGCGGGACAGAACAGAAGATGGCTGATCAGTAGTCGTGAGTGAGGTTGTAATGTCATCCTTACTTTTCATTTTCCTTTTTCTTTTTCCCTTCGGAATATTCTTAACTCTGTCCATGAAATAGCAGCTACTATGCTGCAAACTTTCTTCCAACCCACTGGAAGTTCCTTTCATGTCTACATTCTTGGTCTCGATAGAGGGCAGGATGCAAGCTTCTTTTTGAGAACTATCATTTCCATTGACCGAATACACTCTACAACGAGAAGGAACAGAAGTTTGTTGGTGAGATTTCATGAGCTCACTAGGACGATATCGGCCCGAGGTTTTGGCTTTCCCAAATCCAGTCTGCCTTCTTCGTAATGTGTGCACTTTAGCATTCCTTTTGGTCTCTTCCAAAGATGGGCCATTAACTACTTCCACGCTGTTGTCGCTAAAAGAGGGTGAATCACACTTTTCTTCCTCCTTGTCATTTGCTTTGATGACCAACTCATTCTTCTCATGGCAAATGCTATTGTCTACATATCCAGAGGGCAGCGGTTTATCATCAAGTAAGTTTCTTTCAAAAGCACGAATTCTCTGTGTGCATCCATTTCTGAGCAGCTCAGGCTCCTTGGGTCTCATGATTATTGAGGCAAGGTCAGAGTCAGGTGCAAACAATTTATCCAAATCAGAAACACTTCGTTTCATTTCATTACAGCACTTATGCTCAATACCTCTATTTACTTCGATGTTCTTTGGGCCAGAAGTTGGAATAGTTTCATGTTCTGAAGCTAAAGAAGATAGTATGATGGGCTCAGGTATCGGATTGTAGGAAAATGATGCATCTTCAATCGTCATTTGTTCGTCCAAAGGCTTCACTTGGTTGTTATTTACCCTCTCCAATTCACTCCATACTTGTTTCAACTCTGATCTCAGATCAGTTATGATATCCTCCGCCTCTTGGAGCTGCGCTTCAAGCTCTTCAATCTTTCTTTGTTGGCTCAAAGAAGTTATCTCCGCTTCACTTGTCTGCGTCAATTGAAATGTCCACTAAGTAAGAGCACTTATAGTAAATACAATGAGTGAGTGATCAGTATAAATTCCATAAGATATACATAAAACTCTTGCATCACTCAATTTGCACATGGGTATATTACATTGAGAATCTATAGAACCTTCAAGCAATACCAGACGACGCAAGTATAAACGACCAAACATCACAAGGAGTAAACCCTGCAAATTTAGACAAGGCATAATGGATGCATCACAGGAGTTTCAAAATGTGTAGATTGATTAAACATCAACAAAGAGCTTACTCCTAAACGACAACGTTGACAGTCGAACAAGTAGTTAGCACTTGGGAAATGCTATCTAGCTTTTTGGAAAATTTAATTGCTTGAACAGAAGATGCAAAGGGATTTCTTGCTTTTTGAAACGTGAAGCTTCTTCAAAGTTAAAAATACCCGAAAAATGCTTTTTCATAGCAACGAATTGCAATTACTCTCAAATCAAAACACTCACGTTCCATCCAAATTAGATTACAAAGATTCTTCAATTGCTACCTTCCATTTCGTCAAAGTTCAGTATACCTAAAAATTAACAAAGAGCTTTTGCTTTTAGAAATAGAAAACTGCTTTCACAGCACACAAAGAGACACCCTGTAGACATCAAAATTTCAGCGAAATAAATGTTCACCAAAAGTGAAGCATCATCTACGTTCAATAGAACAGAAAATGGCTGCTTTCGCGAAAACGAATCGCAATTACAACCTCCAGAATTCCAACACATTCATATTCCATCCAAACAAAATCACAAAGATTCAAGATTGATGATTCCATTTAGTTTTGACAAATAAAAAAAAACCCCTCTTTCCAACCAAGAACAGGAATCCGATCATCAAAACTAGTAAAAAAAAAAAAAAACTTTAAACTTCAAGGATGCAAAATTCAGAAGGGAAAAAAAAAAGAAAAATAAGAAAGAAGCAAACCTTGGAATCGAGCATTTGCTTTAAGCGGCAAAGCACGCGAAGCGCCTCGTCTTTCGTAAATTGCAGATCGTGCTGGTACCGGAGAGCCTTGCGCTCCGATGCCATTACTCTCGCCGCCGCCTCTTTCGCCGTGTTCAGAATTATCTCCGCGTACGCCTTCTTCAGAGCCTCCATTTTCTGCATCATCATCATCATCACCCACAAACCAAAGTAAATCAGCACCGGATTTTACAATATAAGATGAAAAGATTTGAAATTTGAGGCGGCGATGGCGGCGCCGCCGCCAGTAGTGGTGGAAGGTGGTTGAGAATTTCACCTGCGCCTCGTCGTCCATTTTCTCTTGGGGGCCAACTAACTAGTGAGAGTAGTGAAACAGTAGGCGAGAGAGAGAGAGAGAGAGAGAGAAGGGGGTGGGTTTTCGGTTGTTACTTGTTAAGCTGTGCCTGTATTGCGTGTGCCCCTGTCAGTTAGGTCTTGGGGGTTAGTGTGGTCATTTCACCCGTTTAGGCGCGCGAGGAGGGAAAATTGTGGGGCCCACCGATGGCATAAAGCTGTTTCCGACAGTTTAATATGACGCGGGTCGCGGTTCTTCTGTAAACGCGCGGTCAAGGTCACGTCTCCGCTGGAGCGTTACTGGGCTTCTATTGGGCCTCGTTTTTGTTATTTATTGGGCTTTGATGTCAAAGTATATTTTGGGCCAGGAAAGATTCAACTCGCATTCATACGATAGGAGTCGGTTAGATATCGCCAAATTTGTTTTCGAGATCTTCGATCGAAAGAGTGAAATTATGAATTAGGATTATCTTTACTTTAAATGTTTTTATTTCTTTAATGTTAAAAGTTAATAAAGAAATGTATGCGCACGTATTAGTTTCGGCCAATAAAATCTTCTTCTTTTTTCCGAATATTGACACCGAGATTGAGAATAAGTCGATTTCTTCTCATGTCGGTGATATTTTCACGATATTGTCAATATTACATAATAATTTCAATAGCTTGATAGTGGTTTTTGTTTTACAAGATAATTTGGTAGAGTAATTCAATTTATATAGATAAGAATGTAAAGAGCTAACACATTATCCATGTATACATATATGATATCAACGCTAAACGAAATAAGAATAAAATAAACGCAAGTAGTTATAATATGAAACAAATTTGACTGAAAAAAAGCACATGAAACAAAAATAAAGATATGACCAAAATAGAAGGGAAACAAATTTGACAAATGGAGCGATACTAAGATAAATTCCATCCTATCAATGAAAAAAAATCTCAATGCATCGAGAACACGGCCTAAGACACTGAATGTCATAATATAAATTTTTTTTAAGTGTCATTTTAAACAATGTCCAAAGTATGTGCTCATATTTTGAACACATTAAAAAATAGGGAACTTTAACTAAATGTTTCCAGTACTGTTTATTTTAATAAAAACCATATTTTTACACTAAAAACTCAATCCTGATACCATTCACTCTACCCTTTATTTTATCCTTACCGTTAAAACTCAAAATTTTTAAACCTTTTTATTAGTTTTCTTAAAAAATATCTCTCAGTCTACAAGCTAGTGGCAGTCAAAGTCAATGATGCATATTCCCAAACTCTGATTGGCTGGGCACTAAAGGGCAAATCAATACAGAAGAATAAAACACACATTAATTAGAAACTAATTGGAAGTTAGTTAAATAATTGAAAGAAGTATCATATTCGGTTCATTATGTAGTTCAGTAGGCAGCCCCTTTTGGTCAAATAATCCCTCAATTAAAGTTAATTAAATTAAGCACCTGCCAACTAAAACAAGATTAAAACTTTATTTAACACAACCCCAGAATTTTCAACACTCAATTTTCAGTCACACATTTCGCAGTGATTCGTACAATTCAACCCTAAATTTTCCATGCCACTATTTGCCTGGAATGTAGTGGTAAATTGGTAATTTCGGACTTCAGACAGGGCGCAGAGAAGTCAATGGCCCTCGCTTTCTCTACAAGCCTACCTTCTTCCCCACAGATTACGCGCAAATTTGACTAAAAAGTCCGGACCTTTGAGCATTTCAGACCTCAAGGAGCAGAACCCACAATCTGTTACCTGCTGAATTGGCCGGATATGGATTCCCGTACAGCCAGGATTTGGATTCCGGTGTTGTTTTTGAGCTGTGTGAGCACCCATTTCTGCTCTTACGCCGTCGTGGTCGAAGACGACTTGAGGTGCCTTCGGGGGCTGCAGCAGTCGCTGCATGATCCGCTCGAGAAGCTGGCGTCTTGGGATTTGCGGAACACCACCGTAGGAGTCGTCTGCAAGTTCGTCGGCGTCACCTGCTGGAACGATAAGGAGAATCGGATCGTCAAACTGGAGCTCCGAGAGATGGAGCTCACCGGCGCGGTTCCCAAGGAGATAGAGTACTGCGCCAGCCTCACGAGTCTGGATCTCGGCAGCAACGCTATTTCCGGGTCGATTCCGCCGGATATTTGCGATTGGTTGCCCTTTTTGGTGACCCTGGATTTGTCCGGGAACGACTTCTCCGGCCCGATCCCGCCGGGCCTCCAGCACTGTAAGTATCTGAACAATCTGATCCTTTCAGATAATAAGCTTACGGGTCCGATTCCCTATGAATTCTCTAGCTTGGGTAGGCTTAAGAGGTTTTCGGTGGCGAATAATAAGTTGAAGGGAGCTATCCCCTCGTTTCTCGACGATTTTGATAAGGCGGAGTTTGCCGGGAACAGCGGGCTTTGCGGCGGGCCTCTCGGGTCCAAGTGTGGTGGCTTGAGCAAAAAGAGTCTTGCTATTATAATTGCTGCCGGAGTTTTTGGCGCGGCTGCGTCTTTGCTGGCGGCTTTGGGGCTGTGGTGGTGGTACCATTTGAGGCTGAGTAAGCAGCGGAGGACGGGAGGCTTTGGTGTTGCGAGGGAAGATTGGGCTGAAAAGTTGAGGGCTCATAGGCTTACTCAAGTTTCCTTGTTTCAGAAGCCACTTGTGAAGGTTAAGTTGGCGGACTTGATGGCGGCTACCAATAATTTTAGCCCCGAAAATGAGATCATTTCGACTAGGACGGGGACTACTTACAAGGCCCTGCTGCCTGATGGGTCGGCGCTGGCCATTAAGCGGCTTAGTGCTTGTAAGCTCGCTGAGAAGCAGTTCCGGTTGGAGATGAACCGGTTAGGACAGCTTAGGCATCCGAATTTGACCCCCCTTTTGGGTTTCTGCATTGTGGAGGAGGAAAAGCTTTTGGTATATAAGTACTTGTCGAGTGGGACTTTGCATTCGTTGTTGCACGGAAGTGGTGAGGGATTGGATTGGCCGACTAGGTTTAGGATCGGTTTGGGTGCTGCCAGGGGACTTGCTTGGCTTCACCACGGTTGCCAACCTCCGATTATGCATCAGAACATATGCTCCAATGTGATCCTCCTCGACGAGGATTTTGATGCTAGGATAATGGATTTTGGATTGGCAACGCTCACGGCTTCTGATCCTAAGGAGAGCAGTTTCGTCAACGGAGACTTGGGAGAGCTCGGTTATGTAGCTCCAGAGTATCCGAGTACTCTGGTTGCGTCACTGAAAGGGGACGTTTATGGACTTGGAATTGTGCTTCTGGAGCTGGCGACCGGGCAAAAGCCTCTCGAAGTCAGCACGGCTGATGAAGGTTATAAGGGCAATGTTGTGGATTGGGTGAATCATCTATATAATTCTGGTCGAACCAAGGATGCCATCGATAAAGCTCTCATTGGAAAAGGGCATGACGAGGAAATTTTGCAGTTTCTGAAGATTGCTAGTAGTTGTGTGATTTCTCGGCCTAAGGACAGGTGGTCTATGTACCAGGTTTACCATGCATTGAAGAGTATGAGCAAAGAACACAGTTTCAGGGAACAAGACGACGAGTTTCCATTGCTCTTTCGCAAGCCAGATACTGAATAAGGATTCAGCGTAAACTCGAATCAAAGAGGAGAGAGATGACAAATGGTTACAGAATTCCGTATTGAGGTAAGTTTTATTATAAGGTTCATATATGTAAATGGTACTATGCTACGATGTGATCTCTATTTCAATTAGCCGGTTTTTCCCTATTTTTTAGTTAGCTGTATAATACAATAAACATCCTAAGGTCCTGCATCCCACGAAACTATTTGTTATAAATCCACTGATGTTTGCAATATGCTTTCCAGTTTTTCGCCATAGAAAGTTGGAATTAAAGATCGAAAAATGGAAGTTCCCGTGTAATATATTATATGCAAACAGTTAAATCCTTGCATTTTATCTGCTCAATCTGTTTCTTTTACTGCTTGACACAACGAAAATATTTCAGAACGTCTAAGTTTATCTGAATCGTGCTGGACTCCATAGACTACCATGACCTTCACATTCTCGTTGTTCAGATTTAAACAAGATTTTGTGTCGCGTGCTGATTCTACCGTGTTCAATTTCTTACGACCTCCTTTGCATATTAACTGTGTTTATGATTTAAACAAGATTTTGTTTTCACTCTTAAAGACTGTTGAAGATCAATTTATGTATTCGCAAAAAGAGTTGTGGATAGCTTAGAGGCCTGAACTACAACTCATAGAACTGATGCCGACCTAGGTGCTAGGCTAGAACCAAAGAAACAGCGCAGCTGGACCCATTCGATACAGACCGAGCCTTTCTACTTCTTGTTTAGACATGCTCATTAGGAGCTGGATTCAGTGATGAAAATATCCGAAGTGGTAACGCATTACCAATTGGTATCCACTTCCGAGTTCTTATACATCACTTTAAATGCCAACTGGTACAGGAGCAACATGGGGTTTGTAGATTGATGGTTTCCGTACAATTATTTAGGTAGATCAGCATCGAGCAGGAGAAGAACCCGGCTGTACATGTTGCACACAACCGGGATATGCTAGTTCTTTCTTGTTAAGCAGCGATAGAAACTCGTAGAAAAATCGTTCATGCCCCCGAACTTACAAGGTTAGAAATAGAGGTGTTGAGTGTTGTTATACAACAGCTGGAATCACAAAACACAGTGGGAAAGAAATAGTCTGAGGCACTGAATACAGTAGTCTAATCTGATCCTTTCATACCACTAAGAATTTAAGTTGTGTGCGGCAGGCAGTCCAAGTCTAATCCGTAGACTTAGGCCACTGCTACTATCACCACATTCAGCACGGCACCACCTTGATTTCAACTTTCATCATTGACAAATAGTAGCATGAGATGAGTTGGGCCATTATACTTTCTAATTGACCAATGCCATCACTTGTAATTCTCGAGTGCTTGGCTAGATGTGAGTAACTGGTCGATCGACACTATATAACCGAACGACCAACCCTCACATCCAGCAACAATCCTGCAAGATTTGTCATGCATAGTGCCATTACCACTTTTGTGTATGTTTATTACAAGTACGGTTATTTAGCCGTACAAAACTGATTATATTAACGACTCTTTAATACAGGTGGATCTTACTTGCAATAGTAAATGCCCCCACCTCTATATTTGAAAGAGTGCAGACAATGTCGTTAGTTTTGTCTGTCTAAGTAGTGTTAATTTGAGTGGAATAGTTTGAGGGGAAAAATCTTCTTTTTACTGCCTTGATTCTTTAAAGCAAAGCAAAGGGAAGGGAACGGGCACTGCACGGGAGGGGAATCTGTGTCCCATGCAACAAGCAAAAGAGACTTTGGACCCAGTCTTCCTTCTCCCTCTCTCGAATCAATCAAAATCAAACGACAAAAGGAAGCAAAAGTTAAAGTAAAATTCCACATTTTTTAGCTCCTTTGTTTTCACTTTTGCAATTCAGATCCTCTTTGGATCTCGCAGTCCGGAACCAACGAACAAAGTAATAGAGACCGTTTTTAATAGAGAGAGATTCGGACTCTTGGTTTGTATGAGGTGACAAGTGGATCCTCGTCAGATCCTCTTTGTGAGAATCCTCCAATCATAGTCATTTATCGTATATCGTGCAGTCAAAAATCAATGTAAATTTTTATTTAAAATTGAATATAAACAATACCTAATATAAGATGAACGGATGTAATTGAAAGATTCTCAGAAACCTTACAAAGAAAATCAGATAAGGATCCTATCTCTCCTCTGGAACCATAGGATTTGAACAAGTGATCTGGATTACACGACCCGTCGGCTCTAGCTACGAGATCCCCAGAGGTAGTCGATTATTCACTTCGCATATTCATCATCTCTTAACTTTGAATTCAACTCGATTCGTTTCTTTCTACTTTCTCTTTTTTCCCTTTTCTTTTTTAAATCATTTTTTTTTAAATTTTTATTGGTGGGTTATGCTTTATGTTCTACCCACCTTTTTTGGATTCTTACCTTTATTGAGAGGGAACTGCTTTACTTGGGAAACACAAACGACAAAAGCCACTTCAAGAACGAGGAGAGAGAGGAATGATGAATGAGTCATACAAGTTACAAGCCCACTCCTCTCCAATACCCCAATACGTACAGGGCCAGATCACATGATGAGTGAGATATTCACGAGTGACATCAACATATATCGTACGGAGGATCGAGGCTTCAACAGACTAACTCTCACATCGTGTGGAACCAGAATAGGATTTTCCTCGGGCGGTGTTCCGATTTTCTTATAGTATATCTACTTGGTCTGTTTTTTTCAATACAAAAGCAAAATCCACTCCATAAACTTGTCTCCAAAACATTTTAAGCAAATACCATCGAGATACATTTCAAAAGTTGTTCCTATCTTTCTCAAGATTCTTGAACGTGTATAGTTTGTTTGAGATAAAGCTTTGGCTTCTTTCCATGCCCACGAACAGCTTTACCGTGAGTCTGCAACAATGCTCGGAACTTGGAAATCGATCAAACTAGTGAGCTTAAGCTTATTCTTCTCCAAAAAAATCTAGTAACTAATCACTCCACAAGTCCTAATTCCTACGGGCGGGGAAAATGATAACTAACTGAAGGGTAAAAAATGCAGAATGCAGATATATAATTAACTTATTGTACATGCCTGCTGCCAAGTTCTGATGCTTCAAAACTCCGCACGTCTAGGCTCGCGTAGGTGGTTGTCTAGTCTTCACTACTCTCCTGTATAAACAAAAAAGAAAGCACTAAAAAGATGAGGCGAGCAAATGGTATGGAAATTGGGAAAACATGCCGATTATGAAGAGTTTAATACTATGCCACTGCGCTCGGTTTTGCACCAAGCCTTCCTAAGATTAAAATTAATACCCCAATTTTAATCTCGAATTCATATGGGGCAAAAAGAGTAGATCGACACTGTAAATATATTAACAAAACTGTCAAAAGAAAAAGGAGAAGCTAGTTCTTTATGTTCCCTCCCACAACAAAAAGTTGTCAAGTTCTTTCTCCAAGGCCTTTATACGTGTTCCTTATAAAAATAAGAGAAAGCTTGGTATATAAAGAAGCTTTAAATAAAGAGGGAGACAATCCTCAATTTCCATATAAAATATACCAACAAACAAAGAAAGAAACAGGGATGCATTTCTTTTTACAACCCCCCCCCAAAAAAAAAAAAAAAACAAAAACCAATATTTCAGGATGATACCAAAGCCAGTGAGCCACTTGTAGGTAAAGAAAGTTCACGGTCACGTCTCCGAAAACCAGAGACCGAATATATGAAATGAAATTTATGGAAACAATATATTCTCTTTCCAATTACTGTGATTTGGCTTTTCTCTATATTGGTTTTCTTTCTTTTGGATCTTTCTGTAGGAAAGGACTTACCTACACCCAGGGATGCCATTTTAGCGTCCCAGACCAATGATACAATGCCACGAGTTTTAAATTCCTCACATTGCGTTGTATTATTGATCTGGGGTGTAGGGAAGTCTCTCTCTTCTGTCTCAGTATGCATGTCCCCTCCCTCATAATTAAGCAGCTTTTAATTATGCAGCAGTAAATTATAGTGCTACGGAGAAATATACTAGTAAAAATTGATGAAGGAAAATATAAGTACCTGTTATGAATGGGATCGGGTCCATTTGGCACTCTTCTTTTGCTCACGTAAATAAAGGTGGAATCCCAGACAACAGCATGCTTCTCTCTTCCAATCAACTTCCAATGCTTGAAGATTTCGGTGGATGAAACTGTAACAGCTGGTTTTTCAGCACTGCGGTTTACAAGAATTCCAGCAAGGAAAAACCAGAAGACACCCAAAAGCAGAAGAGCTCCAAACATAGCTCTTAAAACCTTCCTGCCACTTGCCATGTATATATCTCTCCTCAGCCCCCTCCGGCTTTAAGTTTTTCCTACTGGCTTTTCCACCAAGCCTAATGGCCGGTCATTTGAAACCACGATAAAGAATGTACCCAAAGACCAATGCTTGTGGCGAGAGTACGAAGATGAACTCTCAGAAAAGCAAGCACAAACAGAAAATAGAGAGAGAGAGAGAGAGAGAGAGAGAGAGAGAGAGAGAGAGAGCAAAAAGAAGAACAGAATTGAACAAATGATTAGGTGATCTTTAACTTGGCGGGTAGAGTTGTTGGTTCTATTTAAAGGCTCATACAGGAAGGTGCTCTATGAGAGGTATTTCTGTGAGTGAGGGAGAGAGAATAAATGGATAATAATAAACAGAAAAGTTCATTATTCCTTTTCTGTGTTGAATGGGTCCATTTATGCCCTCTTTCTCTGCTTTGGTTTGTGTATTTTCATGCAGCTAATAGGGGACCTCACTGTCCTCCTAATCCTTGCGTACTCCCAAGTTTCTAAAAGACATAGAGCCTGGAGCTACCCTATCATATAACATTCGGGACTGAGGAAGTTGGAACCCCCTCTTTACTGGTTTGTTTGTTCCCCTCCCTACCGGAAAATTCTAGGATTCAATTGCTGGACCACGTAACCTGTCCGACCCTCCCCACAACAGAGCGGGACCCCCTGTATTTGGTCCCACTCAACCCCACGCTGGTTATACACCTTTGAGTCAGCTACCCTATACACTAGCTTCACACGAGCTCCTCCCTCCCCACCTATGATGAATACTTGGCTCCAGAGAACAAGCTACCCCCTGATTTCTGAACTGAATTAAACTAAACCCTAACGCCCTCACCCACATTATATAAACGACTTCACCCAAACAACAGAAACTAAATGATATTTATAATAATAATAATAATACTAATAAACAGAAATGCGTCAGGCTAAAACTTTGGCTACGGTTGAGAGTTTCCTTGCTTCGTAAGGATCTCAACATATGCTTGTCTGTAATAAAGTAGAAATAATTAACAATAAAAAGTAAGGTCATATGCTACTTTTCATTCAAACAAAGACAATAGCAAATTGGATTGGCACTAAGTTTCAGATCAATGTATTCTGGACTGGATAATGTACCAGTCTTAGTCGACTAGACAATTTTCCAAATATGCCCTCAAAATGAGGTGAAATTTCCAAACAGGTTTTAAAAGTCCCACCAAAAAGAAGCTAAATGCTTTAGAACTACCAATTAAGCCATCAAGTATGCAATTACTTTAATGCAATCGATTCATTAGAGGACTATAAGGTATATCTGTCCCCTAATCAGTTGCAACACTACTCGACATCAGTCGGTCACATGAATATATGATAAACGATGTATCACAAAAGTGTACGCTACTTACTCCTTAAGCGTCTTCAAGTAAGGATGATCTCGTAACAGTTTGAACTAGTTTTATTCAAATGCATGTGGATGTGCAAAATTTGAAAGCTTACAGAGGAATAAGAGTTGAATAAAGAGATGTGAGCACATAATTAATCTACTAAGTTCGGTAACAAAGATACAAACTGGAGAGGCAAACACAAGTACATCTCTAAAATCTACTTTCTTATTAATCATAACACCAGAAGGGTATAATAGGGGATTACCCATCAGACTCGTCAATGTCGGCAACAACCATAGCATTATAAGAAATACAACCAGAGAGTGACAGTTAAAGGACGTGCCATTGCAATCCAAGTGGGGGGACCAGACACAAATCCTTAAACATAACACTAAGTGTCGCAAATAATCGAGGAATCAGAAACATCGAAACCTGAAAAAAACCTGGTGGTGTTTTTACGAAATCTGACGATTATACCATATATGATTGAACAAATATCCATGGTCACTACTTACAGAAACTGATGTGTACTAAAGCTTGGCAGCTTGCCCGACAGACGATATAAATTTAGTGACAGATAAAGAAATGCTACCAGTAATGTTACTAATAGTATTTAATTATTAGCTTTAACTACTTTATTTTCAAAGTTCTCCATGTTACTTTCAAGGCTAGAGATATGTATTACATCAACAAATTCTTAATCCATGGCTCCATTGAAAGAACTATGGTTCAAACCAACATGTGGGGGCAACTCTTTCAATCATATGAAATATACGGTCCACCAAAAGGTCCCAACTCTTTCTTCATAAATAAGTACATGTGGAGACTATAGTTTATTAATTAACTGGGTTCCAACAACAGCAATTTACCTTTTTGGGTCCCAACTTCCACTTAGCCCAATTAGTTTCTCACAGTTCTGAAGAGAGAAGGGAGAGGGGAAATGGGGCAAACATTAGCTATGAAATATCATCAGTTCAACGAAATGCAGATAGCTCCTGATATGAAGCAGCAATGCAGATGCTATTCAAAATTTCAAACCACATCTAAATCATTCGCAAAAAAGTTAATCAACTTTCAGATGTTGTGAGATGCCCACTTAATGCTAACTGCCCTTTCCACAACAAAGATTGGAGTATAAGTAGCAAAACCTAGAACATGAAACATATAATCAACAATCACAAACCTCAAAGAACTCAATTCTCTTGCCAGAAAGTAAAAGGAAAAAAAGAATACTGAACTTGACTTGAATTTTAGACATTTATCTACCCGATTCTACAAATATATCCAGTCAGAAAATGTTTGTTCTTTGTGATGCACCATATGCGAGCGAGTGTGAGTGAGCTAATCAATTTGACATACAAATGAGATTAATAAGTCACAATGAATCCAAACATCAAGCCCTCATCCCACAATGAAGACATGAACCTAGTTCAAAGTTAGTATTTCTGTCCAAAATGAGTGTACCCTACATGTCTGATATAACGCCTTACTGATTTCTACTAGTTTTCCCCCTCCCTATGCAATGTCTTTGTGCTTTCAAACTTGCAATTACAAAACCCGAAGTATTTATTAACGCCCACCATTCATCATTTGATCAAAATTCACCTCTCTTTATGAAATTTGTACTTTTACATACTGTCACCTCTATTAGGTGAACATATATTGTGCTTTCAAGGGCCCAGTTTGATTCTCTGATACTAAAACCAACAGAATCAAGTCAAAAGTATTTCCTTTACCTTAGATCTTAGAAGCATAAACCATTTAGTGGGGTCAACCAATTTGATACTAGATGCTATGCGCTCTTCTATACCTCCGTTACCGGCCTTGAATGGAGTAAGACCACACACCAATATGAATAAGATAATGCCACCATCACATCAGCAAAAAAATAAATAAATAAAGGAAACCAATTTTTGAAGAATTTCTAAAGGAACTGTTATGCTACAAATCAACTACATTTTGGGAATGATAAGAGAAGACGATAGTATAGGTAGATCAAGAGTTAGGCTATGTAGCATATGTATACATAAATCTTGCGATCAAAATGAAAAGAATTTTCATATAGTTATAAAACAAAATTTATAACTATAGCATTGGAAGATCAGGACATGACTATGTAGCACATATATATCCTGCATACATAAGAAAAGACTTCACAAATAAGGCAGGTATTGATATGGACCAATTTTGGTGCCATTATTTCATGCAAAACCAAATGATAAGCTGGTTATAAAACCTAATAATTTGAGCAACTCAGATATTGGGAGATGATAAATACTTAAGGAATAACTCTACCTACACAGTTAACTTTCCAATAAAAGAAATATATATACAAAGTTAGTTGCAGATTTCTTACATTCTTGACAAAACTCAGCTTTAACATAATAAAGTTTAACTCAATTTCAACAGTAGTTGATCATCCAGGAAACTATAATTTATCACCGAAATCTTTGACCTGCAATATATAGGTCCAAAAATCAGAGAGATGTAACAATATGGACATATACATAATAGTAACATATATGGGACCATGTGGAAAACACAACTCATATATACTGCCCGTAAAACAGCAACTTACAATGCAAGTTCATTAAAGCTGATGCAGCATGACTCAAAGTTACAAGCTCACCTTCTCAACATGGCATTAGAGAATGTGCAATTGCATCATCTGAAAAATCATCACAGTTTCAGATTTCAGTTTCCATGATCCCCCTCCCATAGATAGACTTCCTTCAAATTTCTACTGCTGCTCCTCGAAGTGACTTTTCTTTCTTCTTCTTCTTCTGGGCCCACTTGGGTCCATAAATAGCCAAGTGTGTCCTGCCAAACCGTCGATCGGTTATCTGCAGTTTCATATGAAACCATTAGCAATTAAACCCATCCCAAACATTCTACAGTTATAAGGTCCGGATAGCTATCACTATCTCACATTTCATAATGCTTTATCCATTGTAAAACTGCTGATAGTTTGCATTACCTTCACAAGGCATCCACATGAATCCAGCATGTCAGTCCTTAGTGGGTACTCAACTACCTAGACCATGAATTTGGAAGATTAGTGAAGAACTGGCAAAAATATAAGCAATAACAGAAATAGAAAATCACAACTTACTATAAAGGTATCTTCTCCAACTAGATCTGAACTTGATATTTGATCCATCAGTACTGCATAGTCAACTTCCATATACGGTGGGGTAACGCTAATGTAATCAAATGGTTCTTTACCTGCAGGAAATTGATTTTATTTTGTAATGACTGGATACAAAAGGAGAATGAAAGATGGTATATATGTTGTAAGAAATATGACGATAACGAATCTAAGATTATAACAATGTTTGTGCACAATGAGGTCTCTTCTAATCAGCACTTAAACCTTTGTCTATGGTTACCACACCCACACACACACACACACACACAGAGAGCAAGATAGAAAGACAGATTATTAGCACATACCTGCAAGTTTCTGTGCACGTTCCATGAATTTTTCAACACGAACAGTATGTATAACTGACATATCAAGAAACCCAGTCCATTCCAAATTTGGACGTAAAACATCTGAAACGACCCATGGATCCATCTCAACAAAATGTACCTGGAATTTGTAATTGTCGAAAGTAGGAAATTCATCAAGATGTAAGTTCTTGACCCAAAGACACAAAAGATATAATATGCTACGAAGTACAACAAAAACAGAAAAGAAATGCATTGCAAAAGAAAAAATTCATAGGAAAATCCACATTTAAACCCCAACTTCACCTAAACTTAGAAGACTGCTTTAGACTGTTGTAGGTCCAGATATGAATTGAGAACTCACTAAAGTACATACATAAGTCTATTGTATTAAACATTGAACAATTTTGTAGTACCAAGAGATATGAACTAATTTATGAATGGCACCTCGGAGCATCCTCGGCTAATAGCTTCAATTCCAACTGATCCAGTACCACTGTACAAGTCTAACCAACGGCCAGGCCTCAAAGATGCAGGACAACCACCAGCAGCCTAAGATTTGCAGCACAAATATTAATTTACAAGCACAAATGTTGAATACAAGCACATATGTCGTAGGCACAACACTTACTTACCTGCAGGATATCAAAGGCTGCACCTTTCACAACCTCCATCATCGGGCGCACATCCATACCTTTTGGACTTAGCAACTTCATTCTCCGCGCCTTTCCTCCAAGCACCTACATTGGCCGAAAACATTAGCCGCAATTTTAGACTCAAGAAATATTACTGTAATTGGTATTTCACTATTTCCAACTGCCAAACATGTTATTGTATACCGCCGTTTCGCTAATCAACAAGTAGCAGCTAAATGTGTTCTTAACTTGCATTAAATTACGAAGGAAAGACACAAAATTTGGAGAAATTGAATACAGTAAGCAACTTATGGGTTGTTCGAGCGGCCTTAGGCTCCTTTGGTGTAATTTCAACGCCCCGTCCAGACTCTTTCAGCTTTTTCTTCCTCTTTCCCTAACGTTCCAATTCCCAAACGTAAATATACATATATACATATATATATATATATATATATCACCAATCATAATCAAACAGATTAAAGGAAGAAAGAGAGAGAGGGTACGTTTGGAGAGGGCTCAGGAGATAAGGCTTCGTCGGGGTTGAAACCGTACTGCTCCATCAACACTCTCTTGGCCTCACTCCACGACTCCTTCTCCGACTCTGCAACCATCAACACAAAAAAAAAAAAAAAAAAAAAAAAACCTTCAAATTTCTAATACAAACGACGAAATTTCAATCGAATCGTATAAAAACGACGAGGTTTACTGGAAGCGAGGACGACGGCAGGTGATTGCCGTCGATTGTTGCAGAAATTGATGCGAGGAAGAGTGGAAGAAGGTGAGACAAATTCCGTAGCTGTTATCTTCATTCGGAATGGAGAGAGGATCGGAGAAGATGAAACCGCCATTGCCGCCCTGAGCTCAGAGCTCCAACTCAAGCTGTAGACTGTAGAGTGAAAGCTTCTCACTTTGTTATCTTTTTCTTTCTGTTGGGCTGAATACGAGCTGGGCCAATATATGTGGGCTTTTATGTATCGAATCATTACAAATCAGAAAAAGGGTAGATGGGCCTACAATTTTAGTCGGCTAGCCCAACAACCAGACCCTTCCTCGAACCCGGTGCCTTGTTAACGCATCCACACGTGTCCGAATCTATCTACCAATAACGTCACCAAACGGGGTCTCGCAAACTGAGACACGTCACTATACACTAACACACGGAACACGTGATGTCTAGCCATCACGAGCACGATCACCCTGCCACGCGGCATTCCCTCAGCCGTCGATTTCATGCGTGGGAAGACCGCGTCACATCGCGTGTTTTTATAAGAGTGACGATAAATTTTATTTTTGAAATTATTAAATTTTTAACTCGGCTGTACAATGACACGTCCGTATAGCGGTGACACTGAAAAATCACTAAACAGGACTCGCCAACCAAGTCTGCCCAGTTCCGAAGCCGCAAGCGAGAGAGAAAGAGGCGTCGAATCTTGATTAATTAATTAATTAGTTAAGTATTTAATTTTTAATTAATCGATCGATCAGAGAGTGGAGGAGCAGTAGCCGAAGCACAAGCTGCCCAATCCGATTGGAGAGCGAGGGAATTTAGTTTTGGGGAAATGGGGGCTTGTGCTTCGAGGCCGAAGGGCTGCAGTTTCGGATTCAAGAAGAAGAAGAAGAATGACGGCGGCGCACGCCGCCGGAGGCGAGTCATTCCCCGGCGCGTTTCGTCGGCCTCCGATCGCTCTCACTCCGTTCCTACACTCCAAGGTTTTTAATTTACTCTTTTGATTCGTTGGGTTTTCTTTTTTCTTTTTATTTTATTTAATTGGACGAGTTCTGACCGGCAGGAAGTATGGATGCATCGTTTTTTGATGCGAATTCGGCGATCGAGTCGGAGCGAGATGACGAATTTTACAGTGTTCATGATGGTATTTTCATTTCTCAATTTTCAGTAATTTTTTTTTTTCCGATTTTTTTAAATAATTGCGTAGGAAATTGGCCTGAATTTTGTAGTTAAAGCGAGTTTGTGCAAGAGTAGTTGTAGGAAGTGAATGGTGGAGTTGAAAAGTGGGTTGCTTTGTATTATTTTTCAGATGTGATGTCATTAAACGAGTCGGAAAGTGCATCCACATTGAGTGTGTCGTCACCGAGAGGTCTTTCTCGGCTGGCACTGAAACCGCCGCCGTTGCATTCCACTTCCGCTGTGTCTGCGGAGGTGACCGTGGATGAAATTGGCGGAGGGGACAAGATGCAGGGACTGGATCATTGTGGGATTCTTCAAAATTCTTGCTTGCCTTGTCTTCCTTCCACTTCCAATAGCCCGTTGGGCGACAAAAGAATAACCCCGGCCGCGCCAAGTTTGAGGAGGAAAGTCCTTTCCTTTAAATGGAGGGAAGGGCATTCTGCTAGTGCTGCAGCTGCAGCTGATTCCACCCCTACATTACGTGAGTTTTGCCCGTATACTTGCCGTTTTGTTAGCGTTGTGATGTTAAATCGTGCTACTTAACAATGTGGACTGGCAGCTGATCATAATCTTCTGTGTTCATGCTAGTTTCCCCCAGATCGCTTGCGAAAAGACCACTAGCCGGTTCTACAATTCCGTACTGTCCCGTTGAGAAGAGAATTCCAGATTGTTGGTCACCTCTCGAGCCAAACACATTCAAAGTCCGGGGTAAAAATTATCTTAGGTGAGAGCTTAGTACTTTTGATAGAATTGATCGATTTCTTTTTTCTTGGAACAATCTGTCTGATTTGTGCGTGTATCAACTCTTCATTTGCTTGACAGGGATAAAAAGAAAGAGATTGCTCCGAGTTGCGCTGCATTTTATCCTTTTGCCGCTGATATTTTCTTATCTCAGAAAAAGATTGATCACATTGCTCGTTTTGTGGAACTTCCAGTTGTGAGTACCACCGGAGACGTCCCTTCTATTCTTGTTGTAAATGTTCAGGTGCCTATTCTTCAAAAATTATCCTGAACTTTGTACCTCTTATTTCGTTTCGCTTTAGATAATAATAATGTTCCATGCTAACTGTTGGTATGTTCATAATCTGTTTGTCCTCTAGGTTCAGCAATCGTTTTTTTCTTACTGCTAAACAGTCTTTGTAATTTTTCCCTAATTCTATGTGAATCTTCTATGCTACAGATACCACTTTATCCAGCCAATTTTTTTCAAGGCGATAGTGATGGAGAAGGAATGAACTTGGTTATGTACTATAAGATTTCTGAAACTTATTCCAAAGAGCTTCCCCCTCATTTCCGAGAAAGTATCACTGTAAGCTGCATGAAACTCTAGATGTGTCCTGGTTCCTGATTATCGTATAGTAGACTCAAGACTCGCTCATTGTGTTGATTTAGTATGTATAGCTTATTAATTATTTTGTGTCCTTGGTTAATTCCGTGACAGAGACTAATCAATGACGAAGTGGAGAGAGTTAGAGGATTCCCTGTTGATACAATTGCACCCTTCAGGGAAAGATTGAAAATTTTGGGCCGAGTGGCAAATTTGGAGGATCTTCATTTAAGCACAGCCGAGAAGAAGCTAATGAATGCTTACAATGAAAAACCTGTTCTTTCACGTCCTCAACATGAATTTTACTTGGTAATTTTTGGTTTTGATTCTCCACCTACATAATTATCGGAAAACACACCATATATCCCCATCTAACTTTTATTTCCCGTCAATCATACTCATACAGGGAGAAAACTACTTCGAGATCGATTTGGATATGCACAGATTCAGCTACATCTCTAGAAAAGGTATTGAAGCATTTCACGAAAGAATGAAGCTGTCAGTATTGGATTTTGGTCTCACAATTCAGGTAAGCAATATATTTCGTTAATCTGAGCATGGCGTATTTACCGCATACTTAAGATCGACGCCTAATCTGTGCTATGCATTGTGATTTTCAAATAGGGGAACAAGCCAGAAGACTTGCCTGAACATTTGTTATGCAGCATACGGTTGAATAAAGTTGACTACAATAATAAATCATTACCAGGAGATTTGAATCAAAAGTCTCTGTAATCCCAACACGATTCGAGTTTCTCAAATTAATAAATAACTGAAAAACAAGTTCTACGATAAAATCTGTATTCATACTTCTGTGTCCAGTATGCTTTCGGTTTCTGTTTGCAGCTTCTTGGCAGCAAGGGGTTTGGCTATAGATTGGAGCAAGAGCCAGAATCTTCTCCTCACCTCCTTCTGCTGCTGCTGCATCTACGGGTCTCATTCCCTCCCCTCCATTTAAATCCACCTGATTGTATCTGGAAGCTGCTGCTTTTATCTGCACGCTGATGATCGATAATTTCATCTTTCCAGATGTGCAAGGTAAGAAAGTAAGAAATAAAGATTTTCATTCATAATTACCGTCGCGAGGCACTTATAAAACGAGGTTCCCACTAGGCTGCAGGAGGCCTCATACATCGCCCGAAAACAGTAGAAAACGAACATTTATGAACACTTTGAGCAGGCTTAGAACGTAAAGATGAATCTGGTGGGGAATGTGAATCAGCATCCTTTCTTTCTCGAGACCCTTCGTCTGGATTTGGATGTTCTTCCCCGTCACTTCTGTTAATCGAAACTGTGACCTTCAGAGTCGGCTTTTTCTCGACAACTTGAATCTTATCCTCCCAAATGAGGCCGGAGGAGCCCTGCCGTCGAAATGACATCGACGATCTCCGCAACGCAGTCATTGATCGATACTTTCGGTCCTCTTCCCTTCCTCGGTCAATGGTCTTGTTTGGTCTCTTCCTTTACTTGGAGGATGATATTAATAGGCTTTCCTTTTTCAACTAACAAAACAGTTTCTTGTTTTGAGTTTGTGGCCACTCACTCATAATTATAGCCACAATATATTCTAGATGCAATTACATTACTATGCATTGTACCCACATTCCAATACCACACAATAATTTCTAAACGAGTAAATAAAAAGTCGTTCATTTTGAGACTATCATCTTGCTTTAGTTTTGGTTAACTTGTGAGTCCATGTTATAATATGAGTGGACAACAAGTTTATATCTTAGGTTATAATATTAACAATAATCCACCTATATTAAAACTACGTGATCTTATTCTAGTACCGTATAATCATCTCTCATCCAGCGTCTTGGTGGAGTTTGATTTCATAATTGCTCTGTAGTTGATATCACATGGTGCAATTGATAATATCCTATTGGTGAATTGATTTAAGCTTGTCATGCGATGTTACTGTGTGACCGGAAATGTAATATGCGACATATTGATCATGAGATGAATTTGTTGATGATCAATTGGCCAATTTGAGCCTCAATCATTCTTTGGGTCCGGTCTATTTTGAGTAAACTTTATCTTCTTGTAAGTAGTCTTGTAAGCAATTATTATTTTCTGATATTTTTGAGATCTCTCAACCTCGAGACATTATTTTGTAATTTCTCTTTTGTCGGGCTATTAGCCCCTTTGTGTAACCAAAAAAAAAAAGGAAGTTTTTTTTCTCCCTCAACCTTAAATAATTTGATATTGATTATTCTGGGCTCATCCTTGGTGGTAAGTGAAAATTAAAGCTTTCATTATGTAGTTAACGTAACATGCTAAAGCTAAGACAAGAAATTAACTACATTAACGCATATGTGAGTTATTGCCAGTATAATGGTAGTATGTTTGCCCGTTGCATCCAAGTTCGATTTCTTTTTTTTCTAAATTATAATAGTTTATAGGATATCCTCATATCAAAAAATAGTTTAACTAATTAATAATCGAAAGAAGCATCCAAAAGTTGAGGAAAAGCTGCCTGCATCTCACTGTCTTGATCCAAGATTGTCTCCACAAACGAACACATGGAAGTCGAAGAAGTTTGGTGATCAGGCAAGCCATAGCTCCTTTGACCTACAAAATCACATCCCTCAATTGCATCGGAGCTGCCTTGCACTCCAAGTGTAATCACATCCCATGCAAATCTTGTTCTTGCTTCAAATGATCAGCTGATGTAAAAGGATCGTACCGAAGATACTCCCTCCGATTAAACGAAGAAGAGGACGGCGTAATCTGAGCCTCGTGTGCTTCCCGGCACACGTAAGTTGGTTGCGAAATTAATTGATGATCTGTGGCACGAGGAGAGGATGATGAGGAGCAAGATGAGGTTACTTCATTTAAAATGTGCGGGTGCTCAATTTGCACACTCTCTTGAAACCGATGAGCCAAAAAGCCAACTGTGCTAGCAGAGGAATTGTACTCTGATCCTTGTCCATTAATATTAGGGTTCATCATCACATTGGTGAATGGAGTTCCTGTGATGCAGGAAGAGTTTGATTCGGGTATTGCTTGAAAAAGGACGAGAACGGATGATTCCCGGCAGTGCTTGGGAGGCCGCTAATGTTTCCGTAGTCGGAGAGGATCTGAGAGTAGGGTTTGTGGGTGACAGGGTCACTTCTAACAGAATTAATACGGGCTGTTAAACAGTTAGTTATATATACATTATACATGTATAGGGTTAGGATCCGGGAACACGCTTTTGACACACGGCTTCTTAGGATCATTCTGTAATGTCTTTTAACGATTCAAATTGTCTATCTTTTAGATATTCCCTCAAAGATCATGTCTACCATAAATCACCCAAATCCAAAACCACACGACTGTTGGATTAAATTTAGTGACGTAGAACTGTATTCGTCCATTTTCTTCTCTACAAATGAATGTCTTAATGGTTTTGGATTCATCTAATTTTTTGTTTTGATACAAGTGATGGTGAGACGGGGCAATGCACCTAGGATTTCGAGTGCACAGATAATAATGATCATAATCACTTGAGTTACAAGTCCTTTACTCCTAAAAGAGTTCGTTAAAACCAAAATATCACACCAACCAAGTTAGGGGAAAATACTACTTGACTCCTTACTTAACTACATATCACAGTATGACGTCTAGTTACAAATCACAGTATGATGCCTAAAATATTATTAACTCATTAAAAACACAGAATTTCTTTTACATGTACATTTAAAATTTTAATTTGTTGTTTTTATTGGGAAATTCACTAATTTTCTAGACCCCTTATTTACTTCTTCTCATGTTAATCCGGGATAATTTCTTGGTTTTTATATACTTAAAGATATAATCTTGGTTATTTATGTTATATTTTCCCAGTTACGTTCACATGAAAGGAGAAAAGTAAAAGAAAAATTACTCCACCTGCTTCCTATGGCCTTGTGCAGGTCAATGATGTGCTCTTCCTCTTGAGGAGTGAAGTTGTCATGCTTGAGGTCCTGCAGACAAACTCATCATGCAAACACGTAAGTTTTAAGCGTTGGAAGAACTAACGAAATAGTTATCAAACAGACGCTCTATAAACAATTAACGAACTTAACCATAAAAATCGAACCTGCTTTTTTAGGAACCAACGTCCAATTTCCGACTCCATGTTTCGATACATATGCAAGAATTTTTGCATCCTCCGCTGCAGTCCAGAGGCCTCGCTTCACGTTCGATTTATCGCAGCAAGGCGGCCTTCCCATTGAGAGAGAGAGAGAGAGAGAGAGAGAGAGAGAGAGAATAATTATGTAATGGTGATGCAAGTTCCAAGCTTTGCAAGTGCAATTTAAAAAGAGGAAAGAAATTAGCAAAGAGAAGAAGGCAAGGAATGCATGCTAATAGGCTCTCAATTAACCAGAATTGCATCAACATTTTCATCTCTTAGAAGAGAAATTTTTTAGTATGCTAAGAATACGGTCTGGTACACGAAGTGTCATATTACAATTGGTTGAATTCTTTATTTTAAGTTTCTAACCAATTATATTATTACACTTGGTGTACCGAACAGTATTTCCGTCACATTGAAAAATCTCTTTTTGAAAACGGATTAACATCACATCACAAACCAACCTATGCGCTCTCTCTCTCTCTCTCACCCAGCTGGTTCAAATTGTATGAATTATTTGGTTAAAGGCACAAGCAGAATAAATAACAATGAAACAACTAGAGGGAACAAGTTGAAAGTTAGCAATTCAGAATTAAACAGTTGGACATAAGCTTTTACAGCTCGTGATGCTTCAACGGATAAGGGATAACCGTTAAAGACTCCCAAAATGTCCTTAACGTAAAAGGTGAACAGTACCATAAGTGTTTCGTTAAGACTCCCAAATTAAAATTTTCATCTTTGTAATAGTAAACTGCGCAACAAATGAATAATGTTCTAAAGTTTCAATCTGGGCACAGCAGCTCCGAACATATATCTCACTATGGCAGAGCTCAATGTTATGTACACCTAAGCATTTAACCACGCTCTGTAAATATTGACCTCCCCTAGGACGAACACGCCTCGCAACTCTTCCTGCAATATCCAGGAAGGCCCTGTGTGCCTATCATATAAGTCGGGTTCTTTTGACATTCACCGGCTTTAGCCCACAGGGGGCAGTTATCATTCTCGTCTGAACAATCCTTGCCAGTTGCAGACTTTAATAGCGACTTCTCGAAAGATCTCACATGAATCCACTTGGTTGCAGACCATTTCTCGCCCTCAATGACAGGGCAACTCCCGTGCAAGCTGTTTGGATCGATGGTTGCATTGGGATGGAGACTGAAGAACATCAGGGCATCACCCTTGTACGGTTTCACTGTAAGGATACATAGACATAGTAAATAAGTGGCTACAACACAGATAGAACAGTATAATTCACTACCCCCTCCCGCACTGTACATGGGACATGAAATGGTTAAATTGTAAGTATTGACATACCCCCATACCCACTTGTGAATCAGTTAAAAGAGAATTAAGCAGAAAATTTCAAATACATTCAGTTTACATGACCATATCATAATGTGATTACCTGAATAGCCGTCTCTAGCACAATCAGAAGCGTCATCATCCTTAATTTGAGACAGTTTCCCCTGTCAACGCATAAGAAGAATGAAATTCAAGAGGTAAGGAAGGAGAAAGGAAAGGAGGGCAAACTAATTCAGTCTTGCAAGTAACCAATTACCTCCGAATTAGGAAAGACTGTTTCCCCACCCTTTTCAACATTAGAGAGATACATCAATACGGTGGCAATACGGTGGCCACCCAATTGTTGGTTAGCCTTGTCATGAAAATAATCAAAATGCGGTTCGTACTTTTGACCGTGTTCATAGTGCAGTATCTGAATGGACTCCCCATTTTCTGATTAGAAAAGAAAAGGAAGTTCAAGAAAGATGAAATAAGGCACTTTCTTAATAGTCCAATAAACTGTAAATCAAAAGCGCACGAGAAATTTTACCAACTGGAAGAAAGGTCCATGCAGCAATCCTGGCTTCAATGTTAGCAACTACTTCATCCTAAGGTGAAACATAGGACACCAAGTAAACCGTCTGAATTCAAAAGTCAGAGAAAGCGAGACACTATAGGAACGGAACATGGTTTGCATTTTCTAATAAATGCAAAAAAAACCCATCCCAGTGGCTACGTTTACCACATAAGCTTTTGCACATGATGGGATTATCATCTAACGTAGAAGCGTAATGGGTTTGAATCTCAGGGCATAGTAAGACAGGATTAATACTTGACAGCTAAACAAAAATAGAAACTTCTCTTCTTCCGAACACAAATATACGAAGGTTTGGATCAATGATAACATTCAGACTTTTTTGATATGAAAAGTCTACAGCTTAAGTTTATTTAAATAAGATGCAAGAAGATGATCGTGTTAACGCATACACTTGCTCTGAGTTCAATTGTCTATCAACGACCGAGGAAAAAAACATAACTATTAACCCAATGAATGTTAGACGTTTCAGTTCTAATTCCACAAATTGGACAACACCAAATGCAAGTTAACCATTCCGCTGAACAAGTAGGTTCAAAGGTACATTGAATTATAAAGAGTGAAGGAAAATAGAAACACACCACATTAGACCGAAACCATTGTGGCATTAATGAAGTAATTCAAAATCATTCGACGAAGTAAAATGACTAATTCAAGAAAGCAGAGAGATTGACAAAAAAACAGAGGACTTCACAAACCTGAGCTTTCAGAAGGAACATTCCGGAGCTCGTCCGGACTTCACTCTCTATACTCTTACCAGACTCGTTATCAGGCCACCATAGACTTTTCTAGCTTATCCTTCGCCTACTCCGCGAAATTCACACAAACCAAAATTCAAATTATAACCAAATTAATACTGATTAGAGACTCTAATTAGTGAATTCTAGATGGACTAAAAACACAAAATTCAATGAAAATATAGGAAACAAAATCATTTACTATTTCAATTAGATGATCACATTCCTCCTCAGAAAGAAAACCCTTATACAAAAACGCCCTGCAGATTGTCGATCACACGTAAAATTAAGGGAAAAAAAACAATAAAATTAATGAAACAATAATAAAAAGATAAATTCAGCAGAAATTATTAGAAATGCAATTGAGAGAAAAATAAAAAACCCACCTTGGACGCCATGAGAGCTGACTGACACGAGTCGGATCGAAGGTAGCAGATGAAGCTCCCCTTCTCAATCTGATCACCGATCCCTCCCTGAAAATTCACACAATTTCCAAACAAAAATTAATTCAACGAAACTACGAAAATGTACACCAAAAAATACGTAGAGAGTGAGAGGGATCGGAATACGTTTTCTCGTCGAGCGATCCCGGGACGCGGGTTCTGGAATGGGCGAGGTGAGGGAAAATGCAGAGGAAACAGAGAGAAAGTGCTAGAGAATATCCACGATCCATGAGAAAATCTAGGGTTTTGGTAAAGTTCTGTAAGAAATGTTACAGAATCGGAGGGAGACGAAGATGGAAGACTTTGTCCCTTCGTTGGGGTTTATGCTGAAAATGTACTAAATTGGTGGGTTGTTTGGCAAATTAAATAGTTTTCTTGCAAAAAGTTAATTAATTAATTCGACTTTTTAGCTTTTTCTTCGGTTGGGACAAATAAAATGGGCGCCCACTGCACCGTTTTGGTCCGGTTTTGTTTCTGTTGTCTGGAGTCAAAGCCCCCAATTGTTATTTTCTGGAAGGTTCCGTGAGTTTGAGGTAATGTAGGGTTGTACAAAGTCAAAAGGCTAGTCCAAAGAAAGAAAAACAAATAAAGGGTCCCTAGAGAAATTTCGGTAGAATTGTTTGATTGGATAGCTCTCACATATAGTAGATCAGTATAGTGTTGGATCAAACCCATGTTTTACAGCAATGTTGCATCGTCTTACTCATCAGGGTCTGAAACTTATCATGACACCAAGGTATAGGTCGTCTGCTTTAACGCCGTATGTTTTCGGGTTCATAACTAGTTGATTCGGCAGGTTAGTTTATTCATGTTCTTTATCGGATTTGAATTTTTATGGTCATCGTCCTGCTGTTTAATCGACCAACACTCTTTATAAGTTATGAGTTAGGCATAGTTAGGTAGTACAACTAAGTCAACTTCTCATTCATCCCAAACTCTTAATTATACTTAAAAAAAAGGGTTTTTTGAAATGAGTCCAAAGTAACTAAAAATTGGACCTATTTCAAAAGTCAAAAGTCACTAAAAATTAGACCTATTTCAAAAGGTAGTCTATAAAATTGGACCTATTTCAAAATTTTCCTAAAAAAAATGACCCACGCGGAACTCTCGATTCCATTGGTCGTATGAAATATCCAAATATTATGCAGCCCTCATCTTGGGTCTCAACGGCAATTTTATAACAAATATCTGGGCTTGCATTGTGCAACACAATGTTAAATATTGGGCCTAGAAATATTGTGGGAATTCCAACTCCCAGGGACATATTTTGCTCCTACCCAACCTCTTTATTGTTGGCCAGTTTATATTGACTGTCGGCCACACTTTTAACTTACGTATGTTTCGAAGATAAAAAATACTACTCTTATCATATTTGTACAATTATTTTTATTATATTTCTCATAAAGATGAGATTTTATGTGTTGGTGGACTCTATCTCTATAAGAAATATAATACAAATGATGGTACAAATATGTAGTAAGTGTAACATTACTCTTTAAAGATTGATTAATTTCCTGAGACTATTTTGTCTGAACTTGATGAGTTTTTAAGCACATTCTAAATGGAGATGTCAAATGTCAAACATCAAATTTAAATTTAATAGCTTATGTGGCAATTTAGTATTTTGCAAAACTTCTTACTCCATCGATATATCAGAATGTTTCATTTTATATTATTTTCCTTATTTATTAAGGAAAGTGGAAAGTAATAATTTCAAAGAAACCAAAAAGGTTGTATTTATTGTGGACCCTATCTTAATCAAATTAAAAATGTTTAGGAGCACCTGCTT